ACGCTCCTCCCCACCCTAACACAACACCACAAAGTCCTCTAAACAGCCATCCACGCCTCCCCCCTTGCTAGCTCCTCCCCACCCTCACCCTACAAAGCACAACCCTCTACAAAGAATCCCTAATCCACATCATCAGCGCATACCCGCCCACACAGCGCGCCATCCTGCCCCCGCCCATCCAGCGCGTAATCTCGCGCCCTAACCGACCCAGTCCGCGATCTCCTCCTCCTCACCATCCAGACCTCCCCGCCACAGGATCAGGGCACATGGTTCGTCGCCAGCTTATTCCGGGCCACGTTCGCCGGGCAGATCAGCGTGTTGGACGACAGGCGGCTGCGGGGTGTGAAGCTTGGGACGTTTTTTTCCGCGGACTGGGGGCTGGGGGTAAGGGGTATACGTGCGAGGGGGAGGTAGGGAGGCTGTTGGAGGGGGGGATGTTGTGTGCGGTTGGGGGGTTGGAGGATTTGGGGGTGCTGAAGGAGGGTGCTGGGAGGATGGTGGGGTATTTGACTTGTGTGAAGGTGGGCAGGGGGCATGTTCCGTGGTTGGCGGGCGAGGGAGGGTTGGTCTAAGGAGATGTATGGCGAGCAGCGATGACTGGGTCTGTGAACACAAACCTATTCATATGGAGAAGATTTGGAAAAAAGCAATAGGGGTATCATTCTTAGCCAACTGAGAAACAACTCACAACTATCTGCGCGACGTCGACCCAAACCCGGTACTCTCATGTCTTGTCGAGGAGAAAGACGCCCCCGAAGAAGACCTCGAGCTACCCTCGCCATTATCGTACTGATTTCCCCCTCCATCACCACCTCCCCAGCGACTGCCTGTCTGATTGCCTTGGTTGCCCATCCGTCCCGCTGCGTATCCCGCTGCCGCACCACCCAGCGCACCAGACCAGACTCCAGGCCGCCAGCCTTGCGTAGTGCCGTATCCACTGCGTCGTTTGTCCGTCCCAGATTGGTCCTCGTAGGGTGGAGGCGGCTCGTCGTAGCCTTCATTTCCTCCCCATCCACCGCCACCACCTCCGCCTCCCCAGCCTGGTCGGTTTGCGCCAGCGCCCGCTCCTGCAGGTCCTCGCGCCCAACCGAGGTAGATGTTGTACAGAATCCAGAGCGCGACGCCGGCGAAGACGACGAAAAACAAGCCACCCGCAATCCTCTCGCCCATAGTCTTGGGGCCATGCGATTCATTGTCGTCGTCGTCCCGCCAGCCTCCTTTTCCTCTGCCGTATTTTTCCTGTCCCTTCTCCGTCAGAATGAGTCGGTACTCGACGCCACAGCTGCCTTTCAGGATGTATGGGTCGTCGGGGGAGTCGTAGCCCTCGCAGATGACGTCTGTGGAGCCGAGTTTGAACTCTTCGGGGAGGGACGCCGAGCATGTCCATTGGATAGAGTCTTCGTCGTAGTCGGAGCCAGAGTTCTTGCAGCGCATGATGTCGACATCATAGAGCCCTCGAGCAGAGCCACCGATGCAGTTCAGCTGGGGAGGAGGTTAGTGGGGTGAGAGTTGGTAGTGGGTGGTGGAGGTACCTGGGGCATTGCTTCGACTCGGCGATGACTTGTCTCCATGTCCTTGCGCAGGGTGAGGCTTTGTACATTTGAGAGCTTGACCTTGGAGCCGGGCTTGAGCTTCAAGGCTTCTGCGCCACTGGCGACCAGCAAGGCCGAGTAGAAAAGGTTGGCGATATGCATGATGTCGCGTATGAGGATATTCACGAAAAGCGATACGAGAGCTGTGCTCTTATGAGGCGCATAGGTGGCGGAGTGCACAGAAAGGACACGGTGTTGTGGAGAAGACAAGGCAGCCATTCTAGAACCAGCTGTGAAAGAGACATCTTGGCGCGCGTCATCCGCCAGGAACGCGTCGATTAGTCGAAATAACTTGAGTTTAGCTATGTTCCTCTCGACATAGAACTTTACTTTACGAACAGGTCGAAATGTTATACCCTTCTAGAAAGATACGAGTATAGCTCAAGCAAAACAGTCTTTGCTATAATTTTACATGTAGTGGTTTCCATTGCAAAATCTCATTGCAGTTTAGTTCCGGGTATTTCCCCGTGTATACTATCGCCTATTCCGGACTAGAGTGATGTTCAATACACCGGACACGACATCGATCCATCACTCGACCATCCAAAGCCAACAACAACGATGAAGCAGCGAATAACCTACGTAGTCAGGAACCCGGATTCCTTCACGCCGGAGCAACTGAGCGTCAAGAATGATGCAGCAGGCGCCACATTCACACTAAAAGATATCGATGCCGTGAAGGAACACCGCATCACCATCGGGCTGGACGAGCTGCCTGGGGAGGTAATTCACAAAACAACATCTCAAGTAGAATTCCCCAACTAATCTCGTCCAGCTCAGCACATCCCTAACACAATGGAACCAACTACACATCCGCTGGGCATCAGAACGCGCATACTCCACCATCCCCCCCTTCACATCACGTGTCTCACCCGGTCTACACATCTTCTTCACGCCGCTGGAAACCACGCCCCCAACCGCCCTATGCCACGCCCTTCACGCCGCAATCTCCCCAGACCTAAAATGCGCCTCCAACAACGAAACAGCCATCCAGCTCCCCAAGCTATCAGACCGCTTCTCCATGTCCACCGCCTCGCAGTACTACACTCACCTTCCCTCTCTGGAGCCCTTGCTGCGCCGCCTAAATAAGACTATCTGCCCGACTAACCTGCTGGGTGGGGAGTGCACGCAGTTCGTCGCGTCGCTGCTAACGGCTTCGTATCTGGATGTCGACTACGACACCATCTCGCGCGCCCTCGTCGTGACCGCGTTCTGGGCCGACGCGCCCTCAAAAGCAGGCTGGACGGAAACCATCGCCCAGCCCCACGCCGACGCGCGCGTCGAAGTCGGGATCCTAGTCTCGGAGCCGAACCCCGACCCAGAAGACATCCAATTCGGCGGCTTCCTAACCGTAGTCGGCGAGGACGAGAAACCAAGTGCGTATCCCCCCTTCCCATACCCACACCCAAACAAACCCCTCTACTAACTTAACAAAAGAAGCGACGCGTTTCCAAACCCCAACGCGACACTACCCCCTCCCCCTCCAATCCTTCACCACCTCCCTCCAAACACCAACAGGCCTACACCCCACCCTCGTCCTCACCTTCCCCCGCGCGCAACTAGCCCCGCCGAATCCAACGTGTAAACTACACGCGCACATCACGCTTCCGTCCGCGCTGTTCATCGATAAACATCAGTTCACCGACCCGCTTTTCCTGGACGCGCACAACCTGCGCGCCCTGCGTAGTCTGGCAGGCGCGGCGGATCTCGAGGCTCCTGACTGGGTGGTCCCGCAGTGGGGGAGCGCGGGGTTGGTGGAACTTGCTTCTCCGCCTTCTGACGATGATTCCGACTCCGACCCTTCTTCCTCCGCCTCATCCCCTACCCCTGATGCGGAATGGAAAGCGTCTATCCCACTACACGCGCGCTACCTCCCCCCCTCGCAAAACACCTCACACTCCTCCATCCCCCTCCCCTGGCCGGTAGTCTTCTGGGCGTGTCGATCTGAGGCCGGCGCAAAGATGGCGGCGAGTCCGTTTGAGCGCGTGCATTTGGGGTATGAGGCGCTTTTTGGGGGGAGGACTAGGTTCTTGCATGTCCAGCCTGGTGTGGCGGCGGGGGTGGGCGGGTGGGCCGCCGGCAAGAGTCATGCGGGGATCGGTGGTGGGGAGGAGGTGGGTGGAACGGGTGGGAAGGATGTAGGTGGGAAGGATGTTGGTAGGGGATTGATCGAGTATATTCCTATCCCCGTGCTTGATCGGAGTCGGGCGGCGTGGGTGCAGAGTGGGACTGTGGGGGCAGTTTTTGTGGCGTTTTTGGGGCTGTGTTGGGTGTTGTGGGGGAAGGGGTTGCAGAATAGGAATAAGGGGAGCAAGGAGAAGAAGACGCAGTGAGGTAGTTTTGTGTTTGTTTGAAAAATGGAAATTCAGTGTATTGCATTACTATCTCTTGTGTTGAGTGTGCTTGCTAGCTATCTAATTCATCGTGCTGGGGTATCGTGAAATCCTTATCCTTCTCCGTGTATCTCATGTGTGGACTCCTGTTGTGTATGCTTCCTGCTGCTCTTTTCCTCCATCCCTCCATTTGTCAAACATCCCCCATGACCACAACCCCTCCTCAATCACTCAGTCAATCTCCACCACCGCCGCCCCAGCCCCAGACGCCGGCAGAATCGGCAACACCACCCCCTGCACCCCAGAATGCAGGGTATAAACCGGCGCCAGACTCTCCTCCCCATCAAACAGCATAAGATTCTGCACGGGCTGCTCGCGATGCCCCAACACATTAATAACATCCTGCGCGAGCTGGCCGCCCAGGAACGCCGTAACAGGCGCAACCTCACTGCCCAGGTTCTGCAGGAAACTGCGCAGGAAGTCCGCCGTCAGTGTATCGGACGGGAGAAGTAGCTCTTTGTGTTTCTCTGTCGCGAGCTTGGTGAAGGCGGAGAGGTCGGCTTGTGAGTGCGTGGGGTCGATGCCCAGGCCGCTGCGCTGGTACTCCCATAGTGCGCGCACGGCGGTGAGTAGGGGGTGGACTTTTTTGAGGCGGCGGGCGTTTGCGGTGATGTCGGGGGAGAGGGGGGAGTCCTTGGCCAGCATGAGGGGCGTGTAGATTTCCTGTTTGGTCACCATTTCGATGGCTTTCCCGTTCTCGCGCTTCGTTTGAATGTCGACGACTGTGCGCGTGGGGGTTTCGGCGCCCTTGGAGGTTGCGCGGTTGCTCTTCTCCCGCTCGATGACGAAGGTGTGCGCGATGAGGTCGGCGAAGATGTACCCGTATAGGCCGTGGGAGGCGCCGGCGTAGAAGGGTCGGTTGCCGATGCGGGCGCCTGCGTTGAGGGCGAAGAGCGAGGCGAAGGGGAGGTCTGTGGCGATGATGACGTCGAATTGGGCGTAGAAGTTCTCGTTGGGGGCGTTGCAGATGTTTGTGGTGAGGACGTTTACTTTGACGCGCGGGTTGAGCTTCTGGACTTGGGGGGCTGCTGCTTCTGCGCGCTGGACGGGACGTATTAATATATGATGTGTTTTGGGATGGGGGTGGTTCTCACGTTCTTGCCCACGTCGTCCTCGCTGATGAGGAATTGCGCGCCCAGATCCTCCTCCGTCACGACCTGGTGGTCTGCCAGTGTGATGGAGCCCACGCCGGCGAGGACGAGGTTCTTGGCGATTTCATTGGCGAGGGCCTTGATGTTGATGAGGAGGATGTTGGCGGTGCGGATCTTCTCCTGGGCCTGGACTCCCCACAGGCGGATCTGGCGGTCGTAGAGAGCGATTTCGTCTGCAGAGATGCTGTCGGGCGCTGCTACAGCCGTGACTGTCTGCCCGATGGTGTCCTTGGGGAGGATGCTGCCATTAGTGATTGGCGGGATGAGCGGAGCTGTGCCCTCGATCATGTTGAAGGTGTTGGTGGTGGTGAAGTAGAGTGAAGACGGCAAGATAGAACAGAGGTAAAGAACAAGGTCTGGTACCTTTGCGGCTCCGAGAGCTAGTAATTTAGGTTTGGCCCATGCACGCGCTACCGCCCCACACGCTACCGCTTGCATCGACACATGCATGTCCCACATGGACGGACCTGCACCTGCCACTCTTCTCCACCACGTCACCCTCTGACAGCGACGCCTTATTTCCGACGACCCTCACCCATCCCTACACCCAGTACGGACCACGCATCTACCCTAAATCCTTCCTCCATGGGAACGGGGGACAACGTCATCCATGCCGCGCCCACGCACGTCGCCCTCACCTCCGCCCGCGACCTTCACCTTTACCGCCGGCGACTTCGACTACCCCCACGCCTCGACCTCGCCGAACATCTCGACATGGCCTCGCAACATATCTGGCCTGGGGAGCGCCATCAGGAACATGCGCCGCGATCCACGCCCGGCCGAGCAGCCCACGCACCCAGACGAGGCCGTCGCTGCTACACGGCGGCCAGTCAGCGCCATACGTCGTCGCCAGCTGCACCGTCTGCTTGGCCCTCCACGTGACAGCGAACCGCCAAACGACCTGTCACGACGCCCGCCAACGGCAAACCCCAACCGTCCCCGCGCAACGCCCAGCGAGCGCTACCTCGGCCGCTCCCAGGCGCGCATCAGAGAACAGCGTGCCGCCGACATGGACTCGACCGACGCCCTGATCGACTCGCTGACCAACAACCCCCTAACCAATATCTTCGCCCTGTCCAACGCGAGCCCGCATCCTCCCCCGCAAAGCCACCCCGTTCCTTTTAGTCCTGAGCGCAGGCAGGCAAAGCGGAGGAAGCTGGACCACGATGCCAGCACGACATCAGAGTACCACGGCTTCAAGTACGGATACAAGGGCCAGGTGGTGCCGGGTCGTCTGAAGATGGATATCCTGAGCTGCGACGGCGGCGAGTACCGCAAGGACAACCCTTCCGGACTGTACAACGTGCAGAACGTGCTGAAGAACGACAAGAGCGTCTACTGCAGTGAGAGCGCCAGCTGCAATATATTGCTGAAACACATCGGCGAGGCGCCCTTTGCCCTGGACAAGATCGTCATCCGCGCGCCAGACCGCGGCTTCACAGCTCCGTATGATCGTCAGCATGTTTTTATTCAAGCGCTTACTAACCCAACACAGCGTCCAGGAAGGCCTTGTCTTCGTATCCATGTCAGCCGACCATCTCCTCGCCGGCACATCAGCCTATCACCTCCAATACCGCACGCAGTCGCCCCTGACCTCCCCAACCCCCAGCTCCCCAGCCGACGACGACGACGACAACGAACAGCTCTCCCTGCAAGAAGCAATCAACGACCCCACCCTCTGGCAGCGCATCCGCCGCGCCTCCGCCTCAAGCGCCCAACACCCCGCCACCACCACACACACATACTCCTACCCCACGAACGAGCACGACCCCAACGACGACAACGAAAACGACATCTGCGACGACACAGCCTCCCCCGCCCCCCCACCCTTCACAGTCACAACCGCCACCTCCGACGACTCCGCACCCTCCACCGACGACGAAGACACCGATATCCCCTCCGCAGCCATCATCGCAGACCGCCTGCGCCGCGAAAGCCGCTGGCGCGCCGAATCAGACGACGACGATGACGGCGACATCATCCCGCGCTTTGGCGGCCTCAGACGCGCACCCGCCCTCGATTACAGCTCCTACGGCGAGTGGCGCGAGCGGCGCGAAGCTCTACGTGCCGCGCAGCTGGGCAGCCCGAGTCGCATTGAACCTGGTGGTGGGGATGCGGGGGTGATTGTCCCGCATGCGCGGTTCTTTATCAAGAAGAATCGGCATAAGATTACGATTCGGTTTCAGCCTGCTGTGTGAGTTACACTATTCGATGATGTTGGTGATGCGGTGCTGATGATGCTAGCTCGGGACGCAATGTCCTGCTCAAACTGTGGAGTCCCATGTGTGACGGCAACATCGATATCGAGAGCGTCATGTTCTATGGGTATTCTGGACCGAGGTTCTTTCCGGCTACGAGGGTTTGTTAGAGTGGTTGACGATATTGATGAGGATGAGAATATGAGTATGCCATGTCTTGTTTTGGTATTTCTATCCGAGCCCCCCTTTCTACCCAATCATCTATCCATCCAAACCTACTCCTCCTCCCTCAAAAACTCCACAACAGCTATTCATCGTCAGCACCATCTTCACCCCCACACACCAATCAACAAAAAGAAAAAACATACCTTCCAAAAACGCCTCCGGCCGCTCACTAACAACCCAATGCCCACACTCAACATCCACCATCCTGAACCTCGGGAAAAACCGCCCAATAATCGGCACAACCTCATCACTCACATACCGACTCTTCGTGCCCCTAATAAACAGCGCCCTACCCTCGAACCGCCTCGTTTCCGGATCCCCGTACGGAAAATCCGCCATATTCCCCAGCGCGCCCGCGAGTATCTTGACCGGGATGCGGAAGCACAGCGGCCCCCCCTCGACCGGGCGGTGGAGATTGGTTAGCAGGAATTGCCGCACACTTACATCCGGCACGTAGGGCGCCAGGACGGCGTCAGCGGCTTTCTGGCTCCCCGGGCGCGCCACGTCAACGGCTAGCATGCCCTTAGTATAGATCGGAAAGTCGCTCGGCAGCGCGGCGTCGACGGGCGCATTGTCTACGGGGATTATACTACTTATGCGCGAGGGGTCGCGGAGCGCGAGTGTCATTATTGTTTTCGCGCCCATGGAGTGGCCTATTAGGCAGGTTTCGCGCAGGTTGTGGGTGCTGAGGAAGGAGGATAGGTCCGAGGCGAGTGCGGCGTAGGTGTGGGTTGCGTGGTGGGGGGAGGTGCCGTGGTTGCGCGTGTCGAGGGCGTAGACGGGGCGGGAGAGGGTGCGTGCTAGCACACTATAAAATCGTCACTCGTTGTGTCTGTCTGTTCTGGGGCTTTTGGGCATGCGGGAAGAAGGGCGGGTGTGCGGGTGGGTATGGGCGGGTGGGTGGGTGGGTAGGTAATGGGCGGGACGGTATGGGAAATGGGGAATGAACGGGGCTAGTTACTTGCTCACACTCTGATTATTCCGCTTACTCCCGAATAACCCATGGATCATGACGATGGGCGCGCCTTTCGCCTGCCCGTTGTTGTCGTGCAGACGGTATGCGAGCTCGATTTCGCTGCGTCGTGGGGTGGAGTGCAGGGTGCGTGTGCATGGTCGCTGGGGTGGGAGGGCGTACGGGATGGGTTGCGCGGGGTGGAGAGCGTGCGGTGGAGGGAAGTGGGAGAAATGCGTTTTTGGCGTGAGGGCGCGGAGGGGGAGTCGTGCGCGCATTGTGCTGGTGTTTTTGTTTCGGAGTTTTTGGGCGCTCGGAAAAGGGTTCCGAGGGCGCGGGCGGGATGGGATGGGATGCGAGATGGGCACGTGGGGGATCTTGGGTGCGGGAGTGCCGATTGGTGGATGGCTGGTTGACTGGGGTTGGGTGGCGACTGGTTGCTTACGAGCTTATATTGACCTTGACACTTATATGCTATTGTCATCATTTTGAACATGCTCCTCGTCAACTGTTTTTTTATGGCGCAACGTACAACTAACGCTCAACGACACGTTGATCGAATATGATGGGAACGCCCCCCTGTCACGAAAAAATCACGACTTTGATATTGTTATCAAGACACTGTCTCGAGCAGCATGCAGCAGTTTGACCTTTCGAAGGAATGCGTGGGATTTGGGATACTGACGGGTTGTTGCACTTCTAATCTCAGGCGAGAAAAAAATTAAGTGCTTGTTGTAAACAGTGTTCTCGCTGTTTTGCTAACAACATCAGCAAGCTGTGCCATATTTGCGTGACAAGGAGGCGTGCAAACAAAATAGAAAGTTCACGTGAATTGGTCCACTGGAAAATCTTATGTAGGTAGGTGGTGATTGTTTGGTATATAGGTTTTTTGGGAACCGCTGTCGTTTCTCTGGGCTTCTGTTGGTCGAATATTCTTGATTGGGCGTTGTGTATTAGGTTCGCGCTTCTACTTCATTTTTGTGGTAGCGTGCAATGCGTACAAAATCGACGTTGGGTGAGTGTGCTTGTTAAGACCTCCACAATGCGCGTTATTAGTTCTTTTTCTTTCCACGCATATCCACCACCTGCCCCTTTTATGGACCTGGATTCTTTTGGCGAAATGTACAGACTGACGCTTAATGGGTCGTTGATTGAACTTGGTAGAAAGTCTCGCGTTTTGACATTTTATACGTCTTTTGTGAATGTACGTTGTCTCCAAACCTTTGCCCTGATTCCTCCTCTTTTTATCCGGTTATCTTTCCCCGCGAAAAAGCCAAAAATAGAAAACGTCCAAAATACCAAGCACGAACAGACGAAACAATTCCTCGACATGACTCACTCATCGCCGTCCAACTCGTCGCCGTCCAACTTGCGAGTACGCTTCGGACTCGGCGTTGCGATGACAAACGGGACTATCATCGTCAGTACGCAGATTTCGGAGTGTCTGGGGAACAGCACTTACCCTCCATCTTCCCAATCGGGCGCTTCTTTTTCTTCCCCTGCACCGCCATCCCATCGCCATCAACCACAGCCACCTTAACCACAGCCAGCGGCGGCAATCCCGCAGCCGCCCTCGCAGCCCTCTCCACCTCCACCTCCACCTCCCTCTCCTTCTTCTCCTCTCCTTCCCTCCTCTCCTCCTCCCTCTCCAACAAAAGCCGCTCCACAAACCCCACATCCCCCCACTGCTCCGCAAACCCCCTCATACACTCCCCATACGCCTTCAAATGCTCCGCAACCCCCGCCCCCCGCCTCCCCGCCTTAAACGCCACTCCATCCAACTCAACAACCTTGCCCCCCATCTCCCCCCACCCCATAACACCCCCAACCCTCCCACTCTGCAGCAGCGCCAAATTCCTCCCCACAATCCGCGACAGCAGCGCATACGCCTTGCGCCTGCGCTGCGGCGCCGTGCTCATAGTGCGCAGGTCGTTTTTCAGCACGAGAGTCGGCCGGAGAGATGATTCGATGCACATGAATACCAGGGCTTCGAGGCGGGGGGTGAGGTTCTGGGCGAGGGTGTGCTGGAGTTGCGAGAGTGCGGTTTCGAGGCTGGGGGGGAGCGGGGTGGGGGAGCTGGGCCAGTGGGTTTTGGTGGCGAGGAAGGAGAGGACGCTGGTGCGTGTGTGCGGGCAGGAGAGGTCCAGGGCGAACATGTGGCCTGATGTGCGGGGGAGGAGGGTGGATATGGCGTGGGAGAGGAGGGCGATGAGTTGGGTTTCTGGAGAGGCGCTAGAGGGCGGGAGTGGTGAGGGAGGGTCGGAGGTGAGGGACTGCGCTGGCTGGTCTTCCGCAGTGGTGGTTGGAGACGCTACAAGTGCCTCCTCGTCCTCTGTGGTAGTCGAAACAGGCGTCTCGGCGACTACACTCGCCTCCTCGACAGTAGAAGACGCGCCGTCCACTCCACCCTGAACCTCATCACTACTCCGACTCCCCACCAAGCTCGCCGCAATCCGCGACGGCGCAAACGCCGGGAGCGCGCTGAACGACGCACCCACCGACGGAACCACCTGTGGGACAACTACCACGGCATTCGTGGGCGTAGTCCCAGACGGCGCTGTCGTTGCAGAAGGCTTCGCATCCTCCATGGTGACTTCATTCCCGTACACATGCGGCACGTTGTGCTTCGCAGCCGGGGTTGAATTTGAAGTCGTCGCTCCACGGGGGAATAATGCACTCCACCCGCTGAACTGCAGATGAGCTGTGGCGTTGTCGTGTCGCATCCTGTCGAAGGGATTGGGCTGGATGGACGGGATGGGAGACTGCTGGGCTGTGTTGTCCAGGATGGTGGGAGCCGGTGCGTCTGTCATGTCGTCGTCTGGGGGCGGCTCCTGCTTGCTAGGTTCGTTGTGGGAATTGACGCCTTCCATGGCGTCGGCGGATAGAGGCTGTTGGGGGGCTTGGATGGCTACGAGGACCGTTACGTCGACCATTGGAGAGTCTTGCGCGGCTTCTTGGAGATTCTCGCTTGATTCCATAGTGGTGGTAGGGGAGGTGTCGATGTGCTGAGGCACTTCATGAACAGTGTCTTGGTGATCCGTCTCAGCCATCTGCTCATCCTCTTCGATCGTAAGAGTAGGTTCCTCGGCGGCTACGAGGGCAGTTTGCGTGGTCATCGAGTCCTCTCCCGAGATGATGTCGCCGTCTTCGAGGGACGACGATGGAACTGCCGTGAAGATGATGACCTCCTGAGGTCCTTCACCCAAGACCTCATTTGCAACATCCAAGCTCGCGTTCTCGTCCTCACCTTCGACATCCAAGCTGGTGTTCCCATCCCCAACATACTTCTCCTCAGGCACAGGCACAGAAGGCAAGTCAAACAGCGACACCTCCGTCCCCTCCGTCCCCACCACGCTCACCACAGACGCCCCATCCCCATCCTCTTCATCCTCCTCACTCTCATCTTCCGAATCCTCCGGAAGTAGCGTGTCTCCCGCGATCTTGAGAGCCTCCGCATCGCCCAATTTGTCACGGACCCTCAGCGCCGCAAACCCCATGGCCACGGCATCGACATCCCGTCTACACGCTCGTCGCTTATAGCTACTCGTCTCTACCGGCGCGGCACGAGGGGATGAGACTGTCGGGGTCCGGCGCGAGCGCAACGTGTGGCTTTTGGGTGGCGTCCAGGGCTGCATGGGCTGAGGGGTGAGCGTTTAGTCGGGTCTGCTGTTGGTTCGGGCGACTTACGAGTTCTTCCGCTGCATCTTCTTGAGCGGTGGTGATGGTAGACGTGGTGGTCTGCGTGCCCTTGTTGTCAACAGGTGTACGCATCGCTGCTATAACACGCGTGATGATGCGCTGCTCGGACTGCGCGAGGAGCTCGACTAGCCGGGCGTCGTTTTGCGTCTGGTAGTGTGTGAGGAGGTCGTGGAGGTCCGCACGGGAGAAGGAGAGGGGGGTATGTTGATCATTCGTTGCCCTGGCGGGCGGGTGTTGTGTGGTGTGCATGGTGGAGTGTGGGTGTGGTTGGGTATACACGAAAGGCGTCAAGAGTTGCGTGGAGAAGTTGTAAATGCCAAAGTTTAGTAGAGTTGAACAACCTTGATGTCAGTGTAATAGATGAAGCGTTACAATAGGCGAAGGAACGTAGAAGTAGAGTGTGGGCTGCCAAGCTTTGCGACGGCTGTTTGGTCCATGCTGTGCGGAGGAGTGGCTTTCACTGCCCTGAATTGTGAAGGGTCGCTGGCGTCATGAGCGTCATGGCGCGTTGTGACGATATGGAAACTTCAGTGAAACATTGTTCTGTGTTGGACACTGTTTATGAGGTGCTAGTACGCGTTTCCTGGGATCGTCGGGCGGTGAATGGGCGGCGCACGTGAGTGCGCTTTTGGGTGTACAAGGCAATTCGTTCTATATCGTTCTCCTGGGGAGCTGTTTATTACTCTGGGTATGTAGGGCACTACTTCTGTATAATGAAATGGTTTGGAAGTTGATATTGTTGATATGGATATATTCCAATCAATGTGCCGCAGGAGTGGGCGATCACTTTTACACGCTCAACAGATATATAACGCGATGATTTCAAGGATCACTTTCTAGTAATTCAGGCGACTGTCTATATATACGTTCTGTGATGGTGCAAGATCTCGCAAACGTCTGGTAACTTCTCCGCGGATCGTTATTTTTCTACGCGGAAGAATCGGTGGCTGATGGAAGGAGAAGGCAAGGATATTCGATGAGAGGGCAAATAGAGATAATGAGAAGTATAGGCATTCCATAAGCAACTATTGCAGAGCGATAATCATCACATATGTTAAGCTTCTACGTGTTTCTCACATATTCTATGCGTGTCGTCTGTGAGCAGACTAGCGTATGCTGGAAGGAGAAAGTGAAAAGACGTCGATTGAATAACCTTGAGGGGGATGGTGAGAAGTGATGAATTTTCATGAATGATAATAGAAGGGTCAATGATATTACTTATGCTACGCTGAGGTAGGTGTAATGCCCTCGGGCTACGAGCCCATCTTCTTCCTTCCTGGGAAAAAGCGACGAAGTGGTGAGGAGTCATTGATTGGCTTGATACTTGGCTGTTGTGGATATGCCGTATCGAGTTATGATGTCCAAATCTCTGATAGCAACTGTTTGTAGATGGCAGGAACTAATCTGCCTAAATTCATATCCTATTAGCACAACGAGATGTAAAACTCAAAACACATCGAGCCAAGCTGTATTCACAGATTAGATTTATGAACCTGAAGCGGCATTGCTAGCAACAAGAGACTTATCAATTGACCTACTTGTCAATCAAATGAAGTTTGCGGGAGACTTGACCAGGTTAGTACGTTCGATTTTGCGCTCCACGCTGTAAGTGAGCAAGTTCCATTTGATTATCTTGCCGTCGATGGTCATCCAACGTAAGCTTAGAAGATGCTGGCCAAATGAGATTGTGGAAGCTCCACTAGTGGCACGTAACGCGTTGGGCGAAGGGCGAAGTAATATACGGAGACATTTCGGAAACTTTCGCTATCTTGTCAGCTTACCACACTCAGAGACATTCAAGCGGCATATTGTAAGACAGATGAGCTGCACGAGAGTAATAAAACCATCTGATGTCCACCTAGACGCCTATATTCTGTCTTACACCATCCCCACTTGAGTCCCTACCAGATAATCGTACAACCATGGCATCCATAACCACACTTTCGAAGTCTGGCACCAACGACGATAACGTCATTTTTACAGCCAATGAAAGCGAAGTGGCGCGTCTCGACAAGCAACATAGAATCGTTCTCTCGGCGATGCCCACGCAGGTCCTGGCACCTATCGATTTAAACACAGGAGGCCTCCGCATACTGGACCAGGCAACAGGAAGTGGTATGTTTCCATGCTCTCTTCAACCTCTTGCCTTTCTGTTCCGGTTAACGGGATGTACTTAGGAATCTGGCTCCGCGATCTTCGTGACACCATCACTCCTCACATCCCCAACGCATACGTAGGCACAGACATCGAGACTAGCTATTTCCCCTCCGCTACATCCATTCCCAGCGACATGAGCTATTCCTCGCAGTCTATGACTGCTTCTTGGCCTACCGAATGGCAAAACTCATTCGACTTGGTGCACTCCCGCTTCGCACTCCCCGGTATCGGAACTCACCCCCTCGCCGACGTGGTCAACAACCTCATCGCACTCGTCAAGCCCGGAGGTTGGATCCAATTCGTAGAGATGGAGTGGGAAAGTTGGGATTTCGGTGTTGCGGGACAACAGCTTCATCATGCGACGAAGCAGTTATTTGCTACCGTAAGCAATGGCCAAGGTGTGGATCTAAGAGTGAAGCTGTCATCGTTGTTGAAGGACGCGGGGTTGATTGATATCGGGGAAAAGGTTGTGGGTATTCAAGTTGGTAAAAGTGCCAAAGAAGTCGTCAGGGAGATGAGTCAGGAAATTATGTTCGCGACAGCAAGCGGAGTGGTGGACACGCTTGGGAAGCTTGGATTGGGAAAAGACGATTTGGACAGTATGCCGGGTCGACTGATTGAGGAAATTAGGGAGAGAGGTGGGGAGTGGAAAGCTTGCGTGGTGTGGGCACAGAAGCCATGTTGATTCAAGGGTATGTCGTGCACGCCTTGACGGAGATACTCGGTGTGACCATCGCGAAGTATGGAACCGGATGAGAGGCTTTTCATCAGAGTGACATGTGTAAGACAATTCTGCGGATGTGTCCAGAACTAGCATACCGTGGTACAGATGTGAGCCATAGGGGTCATACAGTGCCGTTGATTGGGTCCAACCGTGGTTAGCTGCAGACCTATTCAGCTATACTTGACAATATCATACGTGAGAGAATTGAGTTTGCGTCGTACAACGTAGTTGTACTCATTTGATGGAAGAACAATCACTCTAGTGTGCATGGTGGCTTAGCTGGCTCTAGCGAGAGAAAATCGGGGAAATTGGCTGGTGGTGTGATGCTTTACACGCACACCATAAAAATAGCACGACGCAATCTTCGAAATTAATTTTAATATATCCATAGCCCTCATCTAGTGTCGAAAGTGTTCTTTTCCTTTGTTGTGCTTTGCAATTGTTGTCAAAGAAGGGAGTACTGTTCGTCAAGACGTTGTCATCATTTTTCTCCTGCTCTTTTGCGTTAGAGCCGGCGTCGGTACGCCACGTCAGCCATGTCGCGACGGCCCGCACTCTATCTCCTTGTCTCCCGGCTCGAACGCAGAGCGTGTTTTTGCTCTATCGCAAGCCTACCATTTGCTACAACCCTTGCTAAGAGGCTTTGGGAGCCTTACAAGTGCTTACGCACAGCTCTTCCAGGTAGGAAATCATAGCTCAAGCCCTTGTTCAAACATTCCACCCCCATCTTGAGGCGTTGTAGAACCTTATCCATTGGCGTTCCACCACACTTCGTACCCAAGCCGGGCGGGAGGAGGTTGTAGAACTCGTATATAGGAACACCTAATGCGGGGAACTATCAACATCTGCGTTTTGACGCTTGATCATCTCCTTGGCATCACGCCCCATACATCACACTCACGGACACGATGATGGGTTGATAAACTAGTTTGTCATTCATATGCATCGACATGCAGCACTTCCGCGCTGACTTTTCTAACAGGCACCGACCCCATCGCAAGGCTGGAACCTCCCTTAATCTGATCCCCAATGTTCTTGCAAACTGATATCCGGCCCGTGCTGTTATTTGTTCCCATTTCGACTGGTTGAAACTGAATAGTCTTCTTGCATCTTGTTCGTATGTTTGTAGATATATGTCCGATTGTAGTGTTGGGTTTTGACAGCCCACAGCCTCAACGCGCTCGACGTGATTAGGATCCTCTCTTGGTGACATGCTTGACCGGTCGAGCATAATAAGGCGTCCACCTGCTCCTCAACCAGGGCTTGGCGCCTATGAATCTTGCGCCTGTACTTTCGTCTCAAGCTAGCGTCGAAGGTGTGAAGTTGAACACGGGTACCAAGCTTGGTGTGGGTTTGGTCTCACGTAATATTTGGTTGGTCTAAGGTGAGTGCGAGTACTAATGATTAGTAAATAAGTCCTGGCTGATGGAAAGAGTAACACAAAGCTGAAATTTAGACCATTTAGGACATTGCTAGGCTGGAATGCTAAAACCTAATACGTGGGTTCAAGAGTATGATTGGACAGATATTTCAGATAAATCGAATGGGTGATTCAACTTTACTTTTTGCTTACGTGGATGATCTACGCTTCGCGAAACTTAGATCTTGCTTACACCTATTAGTGGGCTTATACCATACGCTTGCTTATTCCGACGTTTTATTTTACACTTTTTATTCTAATCCTGTGTAGTGAACAGCACCCTTATTAACCTTCTAAAGAAGCGGGGCGCCCTTGGCCGGCTTCCCAACCACCCCGACGCAATTCTTTCTTCGAATGGCGCCATCGTCGAACAACTCGTGGGTAGCAACTTCAAACACTATTGCGCAATGTCGATGCTAATGCGACTCATATAGCGAACAGGCCTCTTCCAATTGGGTGAGCAAACCTCCCCGTATGCGGACAGCCTGTACGCAATGCCATGCGGCTAAGGTACGGATAGTTAGAGTTTCGCGTTGTGCAATGTACCAAAACTATTGCGTGCTTCGGTACTACAAGAGTGTTTGTGCTAATGTTACAATCCATAGATTCGGTGCAGCAGCAACAAGGATGGCTGCCAGAGATGCAACGGCCTTGGCCTTAACTGCGAATATGTTGTGTCCATGGTCGGCAGGATGCCAAAACGACAATGCAAAGCCTCCGATTCGCGTCTAGACAGGCCACTTCCTTCGCCTCCAGAGAGTCGGCCTTCTGAACCGTCCCGCACAAGATCGTCTACAACCGCTTCTGCAATCGGCCTTCCCCTCCTTGATGCGAGCGACCCTAGCGACAGCTTCAATATCTCTCGTACGACGTTTGGATCTAGACAGCCCCTGACGCAAACGGGCTCCAACGAGCGTCAGCTTTTGGAATTTCTAGACGACGAGAGCTGGACATCCGGAGGCGCAGCTTTCCCTGCCAGTATCGACGATGGCTGGTCTTTTCCTCCTGTCACAACCTTCGAGATCGAGGGATTCTCCATGCCATCAGATCTCCAGCAGCCAATGATCACCAATGGACAGTCTTCGTCAATTACCACGTCAGTCTCGGAATCGTCTGCTATTCCCCCTAGCACAGCGAATTTTCTTCCCATGAGCCCGTGTTCGCCTAACCGGCAGACTGGGACTGGGTCAACTCAGAGCCGCCAGGATTGGACCCAGTACGGACCCATCGTTGCCCTTTGTAGGATGGTACGCCTCCTAGAGGCCCAGATACATTCTCAGCCAACATCTGTGGATGAAGTCATGAGGCTAAATCAGACCTGCATCAGGGACGTTTCAAAGATATCCTCGAAAACGGAGTACATGCAATGCAGGAGCTGCCCCGCTCTGATTTCGACAATCATGGAGCTCATCGTCACAAGGTACGAGGATATCACCAACGATCAAAGCCGCAACCGGATGTCCTGGGTTGCTGTATCTAGGCCCAGCACCCCATCTCTGCAGTTCGGCGTCTTTGAGCTGGATCCCGAAGAACAGGCGTTGATCCGCAATCGAATCATACGCAAGGAGGCGCAGAAGTGTGTCACAATCATACGGACACTCAAACAATTGCTCGTCGCCAAATCGGCCACTGGAAACGACGTTTCTTCACAATCCCACGCACTGCACAACTGGTACGATGGTATGGAGAAGAGAATGACCGATCTAATCTCTAGTTTAATCCCCGCTTCCTAAGCGGTCTCAGACAAGCGGCGTTTGCAAGGATAGGAGAATTCTGGAATGGCGTTATGCATGAGGAATTTTTGTTTGAGATACATGACATATCTCTATTGCTAATACAAGTTCGGGGAATGCTTTCCAACTAGACTGGATGTATTAGCCACTCAACCAGTTTGAACCAAATGCTTCGTACATTCTTGAGGAGATCCTCGTATTCGATGAGATACGGGCTGCATTGTTAAAGGCGTAGATCAATTATTTCGGTACAAAAAAAGCTTGTGGTGAAAAGGTCAGACGAATATTATGACGAGAAACACATATGGCGGTTTGGAGTTTTCAGAACAAAAGGAGCAGGCTTATGAGTATTCGGTATACTATATACTACAAAAGGAGGAGAATAGAGGTTTAGAAGGGCTCTCGTACAGAGGTCCTAATATACTTATTGTTCGAGTTAAGTCCCTAGCAGAATTCGGCAGGTTTGTCATATAACCCTGAGGTTTGTCCGGAAGGATTCCAAGGGTGCAGCCCATGACAGTGTCTACTTCGTTTACGATTGGCGTTGCTTGGAAACTTGATGCATGGCCCATATGTCAACTTACTTGATAAGATCGTCCCATTCGTTATTCGGCCCCCGTTCTATTGTGTAGCCCACCTATATAATGAATAATCGGCGCGAGGTTCTTGTCAACGGCCCGAACCTACGGACCGTTGCAGAACCCACTTAATCGGCTTCATTTAACTGACAATTTGACCACAGTTCGTCTCTCTATCGCAATACTTGCGCTATTCCCAAGAACTATGGACCACAAAAACGCATCGCTGACTTCGCCTGACGCTCGTGTTAGTAGTACGCCCGCTGCAATACTTCTGAGCAGTCTCATTCAACCAGCAGTAGCTTCTATAGTGTTCTTTGCTATATGTCTAGTGTACGCCATTTACTCCATCGCCCAATATGCCCGACTCCGAGCGTTCAAGGGACCAAGCTCGGCCGCATGGTCGAAGTTCTGGTTACTCAGATGTGTCCAGAGCGGCAGGATGCATCATATCCTCCAAGACATAAGCACAAGATATGGTATGTTTTGTGGACACCAGAAAAGACGATAGACTGGATTACTGAACGGATTGGCAAGGCAAATTCGCCCGTATCGGGCCTAACACTTTGCTGGTTTCGGACGTAGAATTTGTACGCAGAGTCAACGCCCCAAAGAGCAAGTATCACCGTTCAGATTGGTACAAGGGGTCTCGATTTACACCTGGAGAGGATACTCTGATCAGTATGACCAACGAGGTCGAGCACAAGACTGTGCGATCGAAGATGACCGTAGGCGTATGTAACTCGTCGCAAGGCTCACCATCTGCCAGCCCTCAAAGCTAACGCATATGATAGTACAATCTCAAAAAGGAGAATGAGCGTTGTGAAAGTGCCATCGATAGTCAACTCGAGGTGATGCTCAACCTCATTGAATCAAAGTACATCTCAGACCTCGATAAAGGTGATGTCCGGCTCTTGGATTGGGGCTACCTGGCAAGTTACTTCTCCATCGACTCCATCACGGACATTGCATTCAGTCAGCCTATCGGAGACCTCAAAGAGGATAAAGACAAGTGGAACTTTTTGCATAACACCGAAGACAACATTAGGTCAATGTCGTTCTTCACTATCTATCCCGAAATCCTCAACAAGATCCCATTATGGGTGATGGTTAAATACCTTGCGCCTCATCCGGATGACAATAGCCCATTTGGTATGGTTATGGGGTAAGTCACTTTCCAACATAACCGTCATCATTTATGTTCCTTGCCTGTAACCGAGTTCCATGGCTTCTCCCTTCACGAGCTAGTGAGAATCTGTTAGTTCAACGCGCTGTACTAACTTGGCGATGAAGTTTCGCCCGGAAGTGTGCTCGAGAGCGTTATGGCGAGAAAAAGGTCGAGAAAGACGACATGCTGGGCGTTTTTGTACGTCAGGGTATGTCCCAATATGAAGCAGAGCGTACTTCGCTTCTTCAGCTGTAAGTCCAATCCCACTTGCTTTCTACAATGGACTCTGGAACGCATCATAACATTCTCGTCTTTAGGGTAGCCGGCTCCGATACCGTAGCCACCTCACTTCGAGCGGCTATTCTCTACATCGCCAGCGATCCTTCGGTCGTCCACCGCATCCGAACAGAGGTCGCTGCCGCTGGCGTGTCTTCTGAAAGACCCACTTCCGACATTATTAGCTATGGCGATGCCCGCAAGATTCGCTACATACTTGCTGTCGTGCGTGAAGTCCTCCGCGTTCACCCGCCTGCCATCGCAACGATGGAGAAGCAGCTTGGTAACGAGAGTGACCTTCTTCCCGATGGCCGTGTCATTCCAGCGAGGACCAACATCGCATTGTCCTTGACGGCGATCCTTCGCGACCCGGAGACGTTCGGTGCGGATGCGGAGTTATTTAGACCAGAACGGTGGCTTGAAGATGTCGACGAAGAACAAAAGAAGAAGATGGATAGGGCGCATGAACTGATCTTCGGTTCGGGTAGGTTTCTTTGCCTTGGTAGGGAAATCGCGATGATGCACATCGTGAAAATCGTGATCGAGGTAGGTTTTTCATTCTCGACTTCAATCTATGAGGAACATTGACACGGAATCAGATTTTCAACCGATATGACATCTCGGTTCTTCACCCAGAGAAGCCTTGGCATAGCCTTGCTTACGGCATCTTTGTTCAGCATGATCAGTGGGTGAAGGTGACGAGGAAGGACCTCAGACACGAGGGATTTTCCAATCTTTCTCAGGTGTTTGTGAATGAAAAACCCAACGGTAGTGTGGTGCTTTGAATCTCGGGCGGGAGGAAAAGTTCTAAGCAGGGAAAGTGAGCTTTGATAGCCAGCGCATGTCTGATACGTACACAGCTGGGGAGAATGCCACTTGATTATCAATTGATACTGCTTGTGGTTGCAAAGAGGTGCCTCGTAAAATCTTAAAGCATCGAAAGCTAGACAAGGTTACAGATCATCGTAAACGGGAACTTCATGTCTAGTCTGATAAAACAAGTGGTAGTTTTGTTATGAGCGTTCTATCTCCTCCAGAACACTTGACGCTTTCTGTCCGCCATAACACTCTTCCTAACTTTTAGTTGGCTGGATCTCTTGCAGTATGTAGATCTTACAAAACCGCTCTAAACTACAGTGGTGCCTGCCATCTCTGTGGACGGGATGTGAACTCCGGAATGACGCACTAAGCCTGATCAGAAAATAGAGGAGGAACGAGCTGCCCGGGCCGCACCCGATCTAGACCTAAAACGCACATCTCGGCGGGAAGCCAAGGGTACCGGTAAGAAAACTACGCCGCAATGATTGTGTTGTTGCCGATTCGTCTGAAAGTCGCCGGAAAGTTTCCGGCCGAAGCAAGTCTGTGGAGATACAATTCTCGAAAACCAAAACACGGCTATATCAAGATTTCTTGTCCTCATAAGATCCAACTCCTCACTGACCTTCCTATCCGAGACTTACCTTTGTAAAAGTTTCACCGTCGATATGACAACCAGCCAAACTATTGGAGAGCTCAACAGCGAGTTTTTTGAGTAAGAGCATAATCCATCCAACCACATAGAGGCTAATTCGATGGTCTGCAGTTCAATTGCCAAATCTACATACAGTGCAGATTGGGTTCGAAACCTGGTGCAGCAAATTAGCAGCTTCTTGCGCGAACATGTCGAGTGGATTGCGCCGCCGAAGGAAGGAGGTTGGAGAGTGCTCGACTATGCGTGTGGTAGCGGAATCGCTTCGATGGTCTGGTGAACCCTCAAGCTGTGAGGCTGAACTTTCTCTAACAAAGTGTAGGCATTGACCGCACACGCCTCTGTCCTGCGCGGGATCGACATCTCGGGGGGCATGGTGGATCAATACAATGCCACCGCGCTCAGTCTGAACTTGAAGCCAGAGCAGATGCATGGTGTTCGTGGCAACATCCTCGAAAACGACGAGACGCTCAATGGATCTGAGTTTCAGCGTTTCGACGTCGCGATCATGTCAATGGCACTGCATCACGTCGAAGATCCCGCGGCAATGGTCAAGAAGCTCACCGAACGCCTAGTACCCGGCGGATCGCTGGTGATTATCGACTGGCTGCCGCATGGGGAAAAAGCGGGAGAACAGGGAATGCGATCACATTCGCACCTGATTTCACACTATGGGTTCAGCGAAGCAGAGATGCAGGACATGTATGCCCAGGCAGGGCTGGGAGACTTTGGGTTTCTGCTACACCCGGAGCAGTCAGAAATACTAGGTGGAGGAATGAACCAGCTCTTCTTCGCAAGAGGAAAGCTCCCGGTTTCAAGCGACCCATGAGAACACTACTGAGCTAGGCTATCGTTCCTCAAAGTGTCCTATTCGTCCATAGCAATAATCAGTTAACATAACATTCTATGCTTTTGATGGCTGCTCTCCGTGACCGCTACCATTGACAAATAGTTTCGGTCACTGACTAGTACACCCTCTTGCGGCACAGAGTCATTGACCATGACAGCAAAGTCGTCTCTGGAGTACCCCAGGGTTGTCCATGTGTGTAGGGCGCGAAGGGAAGCCCAAATTCACAACTAATATAGAACTACTCCAGTTTGTCAGACATGAAAAAGCCTCGTTTCCCCAAGGCTCTCAGAATATCCCATGAAAGGACGCTGCTCGTACTATAAAGTTGAAATCATGAGTAGAATGTGGATGTCCTTGCCGATAGCGACTATTCTTATGCCTTTTAATCAATGGGCAACATGATACGTCCACGCAGCCAATAACGCAGGACTAAGTGACCAAGCAAGATTCACCCCAAAGGCACCGAATCACATAAAGAAATGGTTATGATGAACAGAAGTTTACTGGTTAATATTGTTCCCTCAATCTATTTTTATGAAACTACTACCTTAGGATGGTCAATTTCTGATATCGCTATTCGATATGGCTTTCTTCCACCGCATTACAATCCTGATTCTGAACAGCTAAACTGACTATAACAAGAGTCCGGGATTCACCTGATGCACTGATGTAGTAAATGCTACAATACGGATCTAATGTGGCCCCTCATGCCGCCTGAGATAACTCCTCCTTATCATCCGTAGCTTGCGCAGGCTGTTGACCCGGGCGGAAGTCATCCCACTTGGGCACGAACGAGAAGAGGAAGCCGATACCGAGTAGCGCGATAGCCACTGCGAATGCCACTCTCAGTCCGTCCATATACGCTTGAAGAATTCCCTGAAGTTCGTCGCCGCTGAATCTCTGCCTCAGTTCTGTCGCACCAAGATCCAACAATATGCGGGGTTCAACGGTGGGGGCGTGGACCGCGACTCTCCGGACAATTGTCGAGGTGAAGGCCGCTTGGGCGCAAGCGATTGAAAACGAACCGCCTATGATCTGGAAGAACAGAGTAATGGCCGACACGGGCGAGATATCCATTGGAGAGACTGCTGCCTGATTCGCCATCAGAGGGATTTGCAACGTCATGCCCATGCCCATACCAGCGATGAGCTGGAATCCAATGTACTTTCCTGCCGACGTCTCGAGGTTGAAGGTGTACATCAGGCCGGCGCCGAGGGTTGCGATTGCTGCGCCAAGGGACATCAAGGGTGCCCAGAGTCTGCCGTAGATGGACACCACGAAGCCGGCGACAATGCTGAGGAAGCAGCCGACGTTGATGGGCAGGTTCCGCACACCCGATGCAATGGGCGAGAGGCCCTTGGCGGATTGGAAATACAAAGGAAGATAGTAGGTGAGGATGAAGAAGCCACCAGAGACGAAAAAGACATGAGCGCAATTCGCCCAGACACGGCGCATCTTCATGATGCGAGGCTCGAGCATGGCGCGGTCGCCCATATACATCTCGTTGGCTACGAAGACGATGGAAATGAGGACGAATCCAACAATCGTTCCGATAACGGTACTGTCAGACCATGCCTTCACGGATCCTCCCCATTGGAAGGCGAGAATAAAGCAGACCACCGCACCCATGACCAAGAAGGTCCCAACGAGATCCATCTGCAAGATCTTCTCTCTCAGCGTGGCCGGCTGTGGTTGAGCGGCTTTGGGCGTGTGGTAAAACAGAATCAAAGTGACTGCCGTGACTGCACCGATCGGCAGGTTGATCCAGAAACACCATCGCCAAGAGACAGACTCAGTCAAGACGCCACCGAGGAGAGGTCCTGCGAGAGAAGCTGCGGCGTATGTTGCGCCGCCAATACCCATGAACGCCGGGACATACTTGGGTGGCGCTGAGAATGCGATGAGGATGAAGACGCCCGCCGTGACACCCGAAGCACCCAGGCCTCCGATGGCACGACCCACGATCAATGACGTACTGTTTGGCGCCAGAGCACAGATCAGGCTGCCAATCTCGAAGAGAAACAGTGAGAACAGAAAGGTCCATTTCTTAGGGAAATACTTGAAGATCTTGCCCCAGGTCGACTGGAAAGCCGCGGCCACCAGCATGATGGCAGAGGCGTACCAACTGACGTCCCGGATCGTGTTGAACTCGTCCGTGATGTATGGTACTGCTGTCGCCAGGATCGTTGTATCGAGATTGGCAGCGAATAGAGCGAGAAAGAGACCGATCATGATGAGCGTTAGGGCACGGGGGCCGGGGAAGTCGGATGTGTCCATGACCCATTCTTGTGATGCGGGTGCTCCATCTGTCGCATCTTTGTTCTGATTGTCTGCGGCGCTGGTGTTGGAGGACTTGGGTTCTTGCGAGGAAAGCCTCTCCAGATCCGTATCGGGATGCTTCTCAGTCATGACGGTAAGCTTGTCGTGAGTGATACACTGATGGGGCTCTTGTCGAAGATCGCGGTCGATCTCGCAGTTTTATGTTCAAGACACCAGGACGGGATAGATCCCAAGATGCTGGAGATGTGGGCGTTTTGGGACCTAAGCAGGGCTGTTCAGTATAAACACAGAAAGGTATGATGTCGCAGGCGAACAAATCGTACTTGGAAGATGACTGTTTCAGGCTTGCTGCAACTGTTCGTGTGGCTTTGTGGTTGTTGTTGTAGAGGCTGTGATTAAGGATAGTCTGCAGGTTGTTTGCTCAAAGGGGAGCAGCGGCCCGAAGCAAGACGCCGGAGCAAGTCTATGTCCATATGCGGAACCTTCGACAGCCAATCACGAAGCGAAAAGACCAGCAACAGAAACATAATAATAATATCAATTTCCCAACACTCTCTTGGTATTCTGTGTGTATGCGAAAAGATTACCAATTTCCCCGGAAACGTTACGCGACGTGTAGAGTGACTGTCGATCACTTCCTAATTCGCTAGCACGGAGACATTTCGCGTACTTCATTCCACCTGGGATACGTTCAACACAGGGATCGTGAAATGTCCCCGTTACGATTCTTAGATCTTGGAGCGTGTCATCAACGAGCTGTCAATGTATGCTGAGTAAATTTGCCGGCCCAGAACGTGTGTAAAGGCGCGTTCGGGAGCCCTGGGTATGTGGAACGTCTTGAACACGTGGTTTGATCATACAAAGGAAGGTAGTACAACTGTGCCAGCGCTGCGGCAAGCCACGATCGTAACATATGCCAGATAGAACGTCCGGATTTGGATAGCTCCACTAATTGCGACTGCTAAAGTCTAGAGCAACTGAAGAACGCGGTTGCACAAAGGTGAACCCATTTCATGGCCCATAGGCAATCCCACGAAAACTCGCCCTTGGATTGTTAGTGAAGTGTGCTCTCGCCGCAAAAGTTTTGGTGGACTCGTGAGTCCGCCCAGCGAGAAGTAACCGGGTCGCAAGCTCGAATCTGTCAGTGTCTAGCTTGATGCAAATGTATCTTACGAGCGAATACCCGACATGGAAGTGTGTCGCTTCTCTGCAAAGATGTCATTCGGCTAAGGGCAATGTTTCCCCAAGCGATGCGTCGTTTCCCCCCCTCTTGAGAATGATGCGGAGGAAACATCAGTGATGCCTGGTTCAGGTGGCCGGTCTTAGAGGGCGAGGAGTGAAGAAGTACGCAGATATATTTTTGATGAGAGACCAGTGTACAATCGAAGCCTTCTAGTACTTTGCATCATGGTCCAACTGAAAAACAAGCTACACTTAACAATTTCGTCACAACAACCTAATCAGGGACTTTTCTGGAGCTTCGCCCACTCATCCAATTTTCCCTCCACCTTCCACCGTCTAAAGGTCTTGACGCCATCCTGAGTAGCTCCCTTCGCCAGTGCTCCGTATTTGACTCTCACGTCTGTGGCCTCCTTGCTCCCTTCCTCCACCCCATCCATCCACAACTCGTACGCACCCGTCAAGAAAATCTCAGGTCTCTCGGGGTTCGGCGGGTCGGAAGTGCCCTGGGAAATTGCGAAGATTGTCGTGGCCCCGGAAGCAGTCGTCGTTGCTTCAACCTACGAACGACGTTAGCCGACCTATTCAATCGTTCCCGACTAGAGTAATTGTTGAACTGACATTAAGCATAGGGCGCAGAATGACGTCTTGTTCAATCGTCTCGCCCGCGGCCGTGTGCACAGCACCACCGCCGAGGATCAGTCGGCGATGGAACCTGAGCCCATCGTCTTCTGTGATCTCGGAGCTGGCGACGTATTCGGCCATATCCTCAGGGCGGCGGCAACCATACGCAAGCGCATGCCAGACGTCCTCCATACTGAGAACGGGCTCGTCTCCGAGACGGTTGACGGGCTCGGAGTAGGCGACATTGAAGTTGAAGCGAATAGCAGGCATTGTGGTGGTGTTTTTTAGGGCTTCAGTGGTGCACGAACAAGGTGGGATTTGTGATGAATGGAACTCGGAATTTAGAAAGTGAAAAAGCTTGATGACAACAACCCAATGTTTGCGCGATACTTATTTATTGGAATTATCGTACGCTCGTTTCCTTGCAGTGTTCCAATGCTAGCCGGCGACTTGGTTTTCAAGCGGCCGTTTTCTGTTGCGGGCCGGTTTCAGGATCGCCGGAGCGGAAGTGTGGGGCAGGGTGATCTCCGCTAACTATGAGCATTGCAATAGAGTCCGGAAGTCTATGGTGGCACTGTTTGTGAACTACAAAACTGGTTCCCGCGGTGCGGTGTGAGTAGGAGACCGGAGTTGTAAAACCGTAGAACTTACTTGGAAACCGACTTACTGAGACAGTAGGCAAGGAGAGCACTCAATGCAATACAATGGAAGGATAAGTTCAACAAACTAACCAAGCCATGATTCCGAATTGCTACAGAGAGCACACCTAATTTGTAGCAGGTGCCTGGAAGGACAAGTCAAAATTGAGCATCGCGAGAAAGCGCTGAATGTCATGTTTCACTTCAGAAGAATTACAGATGGTTACCTAAGTTCAAATAGTTACTATCATCACCATCAGCCATCAAGCGACAAATTCTTCACAAACTTGATAATTGCAAGAGTATTGTCGCTTTTCGCTGTAACATGTTGAGCGTGCTCTAGTTCACCGGTGCCAAACTAGGCATTCAAACGCGTATATTGATTCAAAAAGGCTATAGGAAAAGTACGAGAAACCCAGACAAAGATAAATTGTAAGACATTCACAACAAAACCGTAATCCTGTCTGCCAACTAAAGAGGATCAGAGGTCTCGCAGACTTTTACCGAAGCAGCACTCTGGACTCAAGACCCCACTATCCGAGATTGAGTTCTTTTGCATGTTTCCAAGTGCAAGCTTGATCTCCTTATGTCCCCTTCCGCTCGAAATCAGACGCATCGCGATCGGTATAGACGTTCGAATTCGCTGAATCTGACTTTCCGAAAGAAGGCCAGAATCGTACTCCAGTCTCAGCATGAGCTTCCCATTTGGCAAAGCCGTGAATTCGCACATAAGCTTGAACTTGGCTCCTTCAGACCAAATAAGTAACGGCTCAAATCCAGGCACGCTCATATTCAAATCGTTCGCCTGCCTAAAGTCGTGCATTGTGACCATCACGTCGAATAACGGGTGATTGGGATATTGCGTGACAATCCCCAGATGCTGCAGTAGCTGGTCCCATGGGATTGCGTGTGCCAAAGCCTGCTGCGAACTCAACTTCGTGGCTTCTGTCACATCGTTTTCAGAGTTGGTGTCGCATTGAATCCGGACTGGAAGAGGTTGAAGGAATAAGCCAAAAGTGTTGAGGTCATCTGCAGTATCCCTGTTGATGTGAGGAACACCTAGAACGATATCGGTCTTGAAAGGACACTCGTCCAGACACATTGCAACACACGCAAGCGCGATTTGCTGTAGTGTTGTGTTGGTGGCGACAGAGTATTCGAGAGCTTTCTCGAAGATGTCAGCATCGATTGTGGTGAGTGTGGAGGTCCCAGAGTAGTCCGAACGGGACACATCCGAGCCAAACGGTTGCGGGTTTTCGGGACAGTCTTGTAGATACCCGGTCCAGAAATCCAAACTACTTTGAGAGATGGCGTCGGACCAGACTCTTGCTAATGCATAGCTTCGTGGTGCATCGTCTAAGAGACTTCCATGATAGGCCTCAGAAGCCTCACGCATCAATATCGCTAAGGCCGTGTAGTCTGCGATGATGTGGCTCATGACGATGGTCAACGAATCTGCTGTGACGAAAACTCGCACCGGCTCCTCAACATCCAGAGCAAATGGTCGGTTCACTTCTGTGCTTAATTCGAGAGAGCAGGGCGTCTGAACGCGAGGAACATAGCCAGGATTAACCCGAATGACTTCGTTTTCATTGCGATATGTATACCGACAGCCTAAAAGGTGATGCCGAGCCAGCACAGAGTTCCATGCCGTGATGAGTCTTTCCTTGCTCACAACATTATTGTCGAAGCGAGACGAGTAGCAAACGTTGAATGCAGATGAGCTGGCTGATGTGAGGTACTTCCTCATCCATTCGGTTTCGATGGGCGTTGCCAGCTCCTCCTGTATTGGGAACTTTTGGTTGTGGTCATCGACAGGGGACGGCGCTAAACTGATACGCTCGGCTACGGCCATTGCAAGGTCCCGTATCGTTGGGTTTATAAGAACCATTTTCAAGGATAGTTGCACACCAGTAGTGGCGGAGAGATGGCGGAGAAGTTCTAATTGTCGAAGCGAATGACCGCCAAGATCAATGAAACGAGATGAAGCATTGAGGGTAGTACTGTCGGGTAGCTGAAGAGCTATACGATACGCCTTTGCAACATCTAGTTCCGTTGACGAACTGAGCTTATCCTTACGTGATTCTGATCGTCGTGGAGGATCCGCCTCGGCGACGGCTTTGTAGTCAGTTTTACCCGCAGCAGTGACGGGAAGTTTGTCCACGGGCGCGATGATATGAGGCATAGCGTATTGTGGGAGCACCTTTCGAAGTTGGTCTCGAAGGTCTCCTACGTTGATATCCAAAGGTTGGACCATGGCAATGAGCTGGTCCTGGCGACGTGCAACAGCAACGGCTTGCAGAAGAGGATATGCTCGTGCGATACGGATTTCCAGGTCTCCCATATCTAATCGGTACCCTCTTAGCTTGATTTCTCGATCGTTGCGCCCGAGAAGGGCCACCTCGCCCTCCTCGGTCCAGTAACCCCTATCCCCCGTTCTGTACATCATCTCGCCCACGCCTGATGGCCAAACTGAATCAGGTAGGAAGCGTTCACGTGTCTGCTCTGGCATGTCAAGGTAGCCATTGGCGATTTGGACTCCAGCGAGATACAGCTCGCCGATGACACCAGGAGGGCAAAGAGTTTTCTTCGACGGCTCTGATTGTCTCGTTGTCAAAATGTACACTCTAGTGGTATTGTTCGGAATACCAATAGTAACCGGCTGTCGAGGTAGGAGGCGTTTGATGGTGGCTCCGCAAGTGCCCTCTGTCGGGCCGTACATGTTGTATAGTTGCTTGACCGAAGCCCAGCGGTCGCAAACAGCTTGTGGCACCGGCTCTCCAACGAAGTAAACCTGCGTCTTAGTTAGCAAGAGCACACGATCAATCTCAGTTGGAACTTAGAGTGGTAGTCAGAACCAGAAAGGTCTTACCCATTTGAGATGCTTGAATTCATTGGGGTCAAGTAGCCGAGCTAAGGACGGTGTCAAGATGGCCGCATCCACCGAATGAAGGTGTCCAAATGGATCAGAGCCAGAGGGTAAAACCAATGTAGCTCCATGCGTCAGAGCAGAGAATATCTCGTGGATGCTTCCGTCAAACGCGACAGACATAATGTGGGCGATCCTTCGGCCCGGTGCGGCGAACAATCGGACGTCCAGCGAGGACTGAAAAGCCACCAGTCCAGCATGTGTACAGAGCACACCTTTCGGGGTGCCTGTTGATCCAGATGTGAAGCACACATAAGCCGGAGATTGAGGCTCAGGAACTTGGCGATGTCCCCAATCTGCAAAATCCGGTGATTCCACGGTGCTTTGGATTGTGAATGATACTGCGCAGACTTCAGGTACTGCTGACAGCTGGCATGCCGTGGATGTGATGAAAACTTTGGAACCCGACAAACTAAACTTTCTGTTGCGCACCTCCTGCGGCTCGGTAGGGTCCATTGAGCAATAGACACCACCTGCCTTGAGAATACCAAACACCGCGCACAACCAGAGGAGTGATCTGTCAGAGTAGATGCACACGATTTCCCCTTTCTCGATATGGCTCTGAAGTCGAGCGGCAACCTTGGATGCGTAAAGGTCCATCTCCCGATAGGACATCTTATCGCACCCCTTTTCCAGAGCAACATGGCCAGGTATGTCTCGTGCTCTCCGCTCGAATAACGTAACCAAATCATCCTGAATGCTTTGAACTAAAGTCGATGGGGAACAGTTACCAAATTGTTGAAGTGTTTGTATGTGGGATTGGGGAGTCGAACTTCTGCGGATATCATCCACAGTACGATTGCCGTCGAGTAGTAGCTCGAGTGTCAGGCGATAGGTTTCCGCAAGGTGTTGCATGTTCTGCTTCGTAAATCGGTTGACGTGATAGTCCAAGGCAACTTCCCGGAGGGGGTCTATCGTGAGGCCAAGGGGCACTTCGTGCTCTTGACGTGTCATTCGGCCAAGGGGTTGTATGCGCAATTCGCGAGAGTCAGGTAAGCACACTTGGACACTAAGCGCACTTTCGAAGCTACGGTCAAATCCATGTTCTGGAGTCGTCCATTGGTATTCCTCAAGTTCGATCAATTTGTGGAACGTCAATTGAAGAAATTCAACCGACGTCATCGTCCCAATAGTGGAGATCGAGAAGGGAAGGACGTTCAACACAGGACCTATCACTTCGAGAGCACCAGGTACTGGGAGGTTTCGTCCACATAAAACCGCACCAAATGCAACAACTTCGGCATCGGTGAATGATGATAATGTCATCGCCCATGCTGCGTAGAAAAGAGTGGCGGGTGTAACATCGGCATTCTTAGCTTTGGCCTGGATGTCTTGCGCGATAGCCGAAATATCGATAGCGACACTTGAACTGCCAGCGTATTCATTGTGAGGATAGGCTGGTGGAAGGAGTAGATCATGACGTGCTTGGCTCAGTGTGTCCTCCTGGCGAGCCCAGTAAGCCTTCCCAAGCTCTTTCCTAGCTGACCTCAGTAACTCAAACTCTTCGGTAAAGAGCCGGAATGAGGGTCCAGCCGAGACTGTGAGATCTCCATTTACCGTGCGCAACACCTTGTCGAAAATGATGGATGCCGAGTAACCATCTATCAAACAGTGATGAACAGTCCATGTGAGTCTGCTCAACGCCTTTTTTGAGGAATTCCCAACAGGTGTGACCCAAAAGAATGAGCCGATGACTTGGGGCATCTGACTGTCCGGGGCGTCGTCCGGCATTCTAGACTCCGACCAGTTGAAGCCCTTGAGACCTTTGTCCAGGGATTCATGCTCTGGAAAGTCTTGGTTGAAGATTGTTTCAGATTCGATCACCTTCTTCCACGCGTCTTTCAGACGTGGAATCATGACCGTGTCGTACATTTCCGAGTGGACGATAAAGTTAGTCCCGGGTTGTTTGAGAGACCCATGGATGAAGTGTAGTTGAAGCTCAGTTAGTGGAGCCTTTCGGGGCATTGATGATAGGGGAACCGATTTATCGATCGCGTAGCCTTGGTTTTCTTTGGTGGTCACTGAATGCGACCATCGACTGCTTGACGGCGTGCTCGGACGGTCAGATGATCTCGTGTCCCTCGATGATATCGACACTGCGTCGTAGGGGGTTGCCGTCCCTGGTTCCAGCTGTGTTGACAGGTAGTTTCTGATGTCTGCGGGCTTCGAGATCGCGGAACCTGACATGTTGGCGACCACCCTGCGAAGCGTTTTGCCCTTCAATATCTGGTCTCTTGGCAATTGCAGGCCGTGAGATTTGCAAGCTGCTACCAGAGCGACAGCTCGGAGTGAGTCGCCGCCATTCGATATGAAACTGGTGTCTAGGTCTAGATCCAAGACACCCTTGTCGAGAACTGTGCAAAGTTCGAACAGGAGGAGGAAGTCGGATAATGCGTGCATGGTTGCTAGAAGGCGTTCCACTGCTCGAGGGGAGACTTTTCGAATAAATTCCCGAGGTTGAAAGCTTGCAAAGAGCGTCTAAACACGGTAGTCGAGTGATTTGAGGTACAAGTTCAGACCGTGCAGCTGGACTTGACGTGACTAAGGTATCTGTTTGATCGTAGCCAGAAAGGTTTTTCAATAGAGATATGAACGATATACGGCACTAAGTTTCACTTACTCCACTAATGAGTCTGGGTTGCGAGCCTGCGCACTCTTCTTAGACATGTTCCGAAGTTAGGCGAACCCCCTCAGACAAAGGTCTACGGACCGGCCGGCGTCCGCAGCTTTGGAAGAACGGGCCTTGGATTCCACGGAGGAAGTCGGGTCGGCCTCATGGACGCCATCCAAGCTGAAACTTGTCAGTCTCTTGCTTACTTGGTTAGCCTAGGTCACCGGTTGAATCAGGACGACAAACCCCCACACACCTTTGATACCTGGCGTAGGAGCTCGCCACGGCTTCTAAGTTAGCAGGGTTTCCATGTCGGCCATACTATAGGTCCGAGTTCATCGATGATAGCCTGTCTCGCTCCGTGACCAGTCGCTTTGGCTTTTGCATGGATATTGATTCTCAGTAATCATAGCTGAAGCCTGTTGAACATGCAAAAGTTGACGTGTTGACTCATCAGAGTCTCCACGGCGTAGAACACATGAATACACATGAACAATTACAATAGCAGTTGATGGCGTAACACGTCGCACTGAGCGAATCGACATGGTCCAAGACTTGGAGAGTATGATGCAGAATTGTGGAGTAATTTGAAACTTCGCGTGGTGCATCTGCCCCTTATAGCAGAAGATCTGTTGTGACACAAGACTAATGACATTATTATGGATTCGATTGCGGAGGCTATGGAGATCACGTGCGAGCAGGTGACTAATTCAGCCTAGTGCAATTTCAGGATTTTGCGACGCCCAGCGGCCTCCCACCAACATGATGCTTCGACAATCGCATCAGCGGATATCTCCTAAGTCATTTGTGGTCCTCAGTAATCCTCTTGCTGTCAACAAGGACACCTGCTCCTCAGTCCAGGGAGATGCGATATCATCACAAAGAACGTCCCATCTCTCAACGTCTCGGGCGGTCCTGCTGACATTCTCGACTTCTTCCATGATCCGAATCACATTCAGTCCCATGATGAGCTTTATATCATCCTCAGCCACCTTGCGTCTTAGCAATTCCTCGATCAAAGCGGGAAAGTGTGAAGTGTCATCCAGATCTGGTGGCCCTTCTAGCATTCCGTCGAAATCAGAGCCGATACCCACGTGAGAATACCCGATGGAGTTTCCTACATGGATTATGTGATCAACAATAGATGCGACAGATGGGCTCAACTTGCGGTCTCCAGGATTGGCGTCGTGTTCTGCTTCGATAGGTGTGACCAGAGACGGGATAAAGCATATCATGATCAAACCACGATTGGCCTTCAGACACTGCAAGACTTCGTCCCGGACATTTCGTGGGTTAGGACAGAGTTTATAGCTATCGGTCCCAAATTCCATGTCAGTACTTGAATCTTCAAGTTGCTACTCAGCATGGACCTACCAAGAAGCGTGTGAGAAGATCACTGGCGCCTTGCTTTGTGCCAATACTTCAAGCTGGGCTTCATGACTTGTATGCGCGAGATCAACGATCCTACACCTTGTGTTAGCGGCTTCAGATTCACTCCATGAGTTACGCTGACACATGTCAACGCTTCAAAATCACTTCACATCAGCATTGCTTCTATCCCGAAAACCAATGAACGCTCCCTCTATCTCCACAAGCAGCTTCTTGAAATATCGTCGTTTGCCTTGGCTGAATAATTCGAGGATGTTCGTGGAGCTGAGTATTTTGCTCGCAGTGGGTTGTTAAGAGTCGGGCTAACTTACATGCCAATCCTGTTCATCTCATGAACAAGCTTGCTGCCAAGGGCTGAGAGCCCTCCATGTGTACCTTCTGCTGTCTTGTTACGCGGTACGTCAGTGATTATGTAGGAAGCCAATTGTTGACGAGTCACTTACAGCACTATCTACAAACTCATTGCCTTTGTTGTGACAGAGGGTGGCATATCTTACACCGAGCCTATACAGCATGCGCAGAACACTTGGGCTTCCGCCGATCTGATGAAGCCCTTCGATGCCGAGCAGGCTCACCAGCCTTCCTGTTCGGAATGTGGGGATGATCTCCGACGAATGAGACGCGAAGGCGAATGTGCTCGAATATCGTTCAAAGATGGAATGCAGCAAATCGATCTGCTGAATAGTGGACAAAATCAAGGAATGTTTACTGTCTCCTTCTTTTCCACTGCCACTGTCAGTCAGCACCATTGCCCGAATCTACGGCGATTGGACAACTCCAACTTACGAAGGAACGAAGGCGCTCCAGAACTGGCCTCCAAGTTTTCCTTTGTGAAGTCTGCCAATATCGGTCTGACCGATTGGCATAGAGTGAATATCGAAATCTGGCTGACTCAAATTATTCCGATACCACCCTCGCACCATGTATGCGAAGTCATTGTGACCATCTGCGATGCGGATAAGCGATGCCTACACATAATGGGAACATCATCTGGACAGCTTGGGCTATTGCATCGGTAAATGAAAATAAACTGATCTTACCAATGAGTGGGACTTGCTCAAGGAGCTCGAGTGCTCGCGCTCGGGCGCTTTCAGACGGATTCTCCATTCTTCAAGACACATGAAACACAGTCAAAGGGTTGCGTTACGTGTTTGCAGATCGAATATGGTTCAGAACCTTTCCAGTACTATATTGGTCCTCGCTGCGTCGTTCCGTACGGCTAAATACAGTGGCGCATCTCATTGTCATCACCGCCTGCCACCTCCGTGGCCCCAAATCCAACAGTGGAAAAAATCGTAATGCAACCACACGGCATTGAACAAAAGCCACACCACTAAACCTGAACCATTGGAACGGTCCGACCCGGTACTACGCGCGCCCGTCTTGATGCGCGTCATTGTCCAAACAATGACCGGCATCCAGAAGCCCAAAAAGAGACGTGCCCCAAAACTCTCCACCTTGGATAGGCTTTTGGCATAGCTTGGCAGGGTCGCTAAGTATCTCTGATATGATTGCGGCAGCTTGTGTTCTTCAGCCCCATCGATTAGGAGCCGCTACGCGGGCCGTTGCGTTAGCGCATTCATTCCATATGAGGTAAGTGGGGCCTTACTAGGTAGCGCTGACTTGGTAAGGCGTTCGGCCGGAAGGGATACCGCCCGACTAGCGTGCGGACTGGAATCGGATCGGTGCTTTCATCTGCTCCTTCCCCATCACCGGCGAGTAGATGCGCTTCCAATTCGACCTCCAAGTAAGCCGTTCCGGCCCCCTCGGAGATAAGCAACTTTTCGAAGTCGCCCGCCGACAGAACGTAGCCAACGCCGTGCACCGCCGGAGGAGACTCCGTTCCTCGGTCAAACTCCGCGACTGCTCCCCGTTCAGCTATGCTCGCCATGGCCGGCTCGTTATACGGGACACCGAAGATGTCGAAAGTCAGGACGTGTGAGTGCACGACAAGTCGCTTGACTGCAAACAATTTCATTCCTCGTCGTTCCATAACCGAGGATCTCATGTTAGAACCATAGGCGAAGTAACAGACCTTATCGGCAATATCGAGTTTGTTGTTGTTGGCTGTCATTGCAAGAGTGGAACCAAGGTCGTGGTCGTGCGATAGCCGAGATGAGAACTACTGGCCAACTATCCGATGACTTGCGTGCTTCGCATTTATGGTATGCCATCCATGCACGACATATTCCACGGCTCCCGGTGATACCGTAAGGGTCTCTCAACGGAGCCCTGCCTAGAGATCGCCGTTCACTCTCGGGCTGGACACCACGGCCCATGTTCTCTACCGCGGTATGACCACTTCGAAGCCCTCATATTGCACTAAGCTCAACCATCCTGCCCATTCTTGTATTCTCGTTGATACTCTCACTTCCACAACAACTTGCTTTCACATCTTCCTTGGCATAGTGACTGTTAATCATGGGTGCTTTGCAATTCCTACTCCACCGTCTAGAGACGGTTGCTCTCCAACGCCCGATCACATTGGGCATCTTGGCCACTCTAGTGGTCTTCGGTTTGTTCAAACTATGGACTTCCCGGACACGAACGCACAATCTTCCCGTCATGAAGGTTACGAGTAACGACGTAGTAGGGTTTCTAGAGGAAGCACATAAAAAGGTGAGTCACTTTGAGACACCCGCGGAGACATCCGCATCTAGCCATCGTATTTCTAATGATTCGTTCTCATAATAGTATCCAAATGAGCCATTCATGCTATCTTTGCCAGGTATGGAGATGGCTGTTCTACCTGATACAGAGATCGAGACTATCAAAGCACTTCCGGAGACGGACGTCTCTATCAAGTAAATACCCCCTTCATTGATTCGTGGCAGTAACAGCTTCTAATACTGCTTGGTATAGGAAGCATCATTACGACGTATTTCTCGGTGAATACTCCTACATGGGCACGAAAGCGGACGAGTTCGATCGGACCATGCGCAACGTTCTGACGCGTAACACCCCCGCTGTTCTAGCATCGTTCAACGCCGAAGTTGAATATGCCGTCAATAAGATGATCGGTCCTTGCAAAGATTGGACAGCTATAAAGCCACGGTATGCCATGTCGAGAATCGCCTCCATCATGTCTGGCCGAGCCTTCGTTGGGTTACCGTTAAGCCGCCAGGATGATTGGGTAGAGGCAACAGTCAACTACACGGCAGGAGTATCCCGCGCCTGGCTTGTTCTTCGCCTCATACCATGGCCTATACGCTTCTTTGTCGCTCCATTCTTGCCTCAGGTTCAAGCACTCAAACGACAAAAAGCAATCAATGAAGAGAAGCTTGCACCCTTGATTGCAGAGAAGCGTTCCGGCTCTGTCAAAGACAAGAGCATCCCCGGCGGCGACATGATTGAGTGGTTCATCTCTCAATACGCCAAGCCACCCAACGCTCAGCAGCTTGGTCGAGATCAGCTCCTCACGACCTTTGCATCCATCTACAACCTCTCGAATGCTCTTTCTTACGTCATTTTCGATCTAGCAGCACTCGACCCGAAGGAAATTGAACTCATGCGTGAGGAAGTCCTCCAACACGTTCCGGCGGATGGCAACATCGACAAGATGGATCTGCCAAAGTTGAAGAGGCTGGACAGCTTTGCCAAAGAATCTCAGAGACTTTCGCCTCCATCTCTAGGTCAGCAAATCATGAATTGATGCTTCATCACTGTTCGATATACTGATCACAACCACAGTGAATATTCCGCGTATCGTCACGAATCCCAATGGACTCCTCTGCTCCACCGGTCAAGTACTCCCCCATGGCACGCGCATGACTATCCTAGCCCATGCCATCAACCAGAACCCCGAAATCTATCCAAACCCTACCGAGTTTCAACCTTTCCGCTTTTCCAATCTCCGAGCGACGCCTGGAAATGAGCACAAGTATCAGCACGCTACTACTGGAATAGACAATATCAACTTTGGGCACGGGCTTTGGGCTTGCCCGGGCCGATTCTTCGCAAGTGTAGAGATCAAGGTTGTCCTGAGCTACATACTGCGACACTACGATGTGAAACTAAAGCCGGGAGAGCCAAAGCCGAAGCAGCAGCATTTTGGACTAGCTATTTTGCCTGATCCAGAAGCAGAGGTTCTTTTCAGGGCTCGGGGTTAGCGAGGCTGCTTAGCAACCGACTGCTGCATGACTATCTGTTTGTATAGCAAGATGTGCAGTTTCATTATACTTTGCGCCTTAGGAGTAGTATATTCTGTGAGCTGGCACCAATAAACACCTAGCTTTCGAGAGTTGCACGAGTACGAAGCCTAGTTTCAGTCTATGGGCAAAAGGTTCTATAGGCTACAATAGCTGTTTTAATGGCTAGTCGATACGACTGGAGGAAACCTAGAGCAATCAACTCTTGGCTATAACCTATATCATTCTCTGATTCACGATGATGTTGGCGCTGTCACGACTAGATCATGGTTTTCAGGGTGTTACATGCGCTGCGCAACACGTATCATGAAACGAGTGCCATCCAAACGTTCGCAAACTATGAGCAGCTTCTAGTATGAGCATCGTGGATTTCGAGCCATATTTTGATTCAGCAATGTTATTTTGGTAGCATATGAGTTTTTGGCAGTCAAGAAGCGGGTATGATAGTGAGCGGTAACAGAATGTATTGCAATGAACGCTTGCTCGCTATCAATGTTCTCAATAACGCAACGCCGTCGTGATCTGGTGGCCTAAATAATAGGGTAGCTATCCGTAGGCTACACTTTGCTCCTCAACTCACACTTCAATTTCATCATCGGATGATTGATCCAATTCTCAGGATCTCTTTCCCACTTCTTGTCCGCATTAAGCATTCCCAGGTCGTAGTTCTCCACCAAGTGAACGAGCAACACTCGGATCATCAGGTCGGCAACAAACTTACCCATACACTGCCTTGGTCCGAAGCCAAAGCGCCAAAAGTTATACCGGTCTTTCACCGCACTTCGCTCAAGGAATCGCTCTGGTCGATACTTCTCAGCGTCCTTGCCCCAGTAGTCGTTTCGCTGGTTCAAAGCATGCGAATCGACGATGAAGTTCGTCCCTGGAGGGAAGTAGTATTCACCCACAACCCGACCGGTGGGTGCCGCTTGCGGGACAGAGAACGCAGCGAGGGGCCGAAGACGCGACGACTCGGAGATGCAGGCCGCAACCAGGGTGTCGGAGCGTAGAATGTAGGCATCAAGGTTGCTAGACTCAGATTTTGCGCGCTCGTTGGCGATCTCAGCTCGCAGACGCGACTGCACGTCTGGGTATGCGGCGAGAAAGACGAGGTTCCAGGATATGCCGCCCAGCGTGACGTCCAAGTTGGCGAAGAGGGCCTCATCTAAAGTTTGCAGGATTGCATCTTCCTCTAGAGAGCCGTCTTCAATTGCGTTGTAATATGAGGCTATAGGTGAAGTCGGGGGTGCCTGCGGCCTCGCTTGTCGGTTAAGAGCGGTCCAGCGGGACTTGAATTCGGCCAGGTCGCGGTTCGCAGTGGTAGGGAGGTATTTCGACCACGCGAATCGTGTGAGCCCGCCCTTCAGGAAGTATTGGAACAGCTTTTCTCTCACTGGCGCTAGCTCTCCGAGCTGTTGCTCCACCTCATCGGTAAGTCCTCCGTAGAGAATTTCGGCCACGATCCAAAATGGCAGCATCTTCAGGTCTTGAGCTGCATCGATCACAGACTTCGAGAGTGATGATGTTTTCCATAGCTGGTCAAAATGTCGCTTGGTACGTTTCTCCATCTGTTCAACATACGTGGCCGACTTCGATCTGACAAAAGGTATTTCGCAGATAAGTCTTAGCTGTTTCCATTCGTTCTGACTTACGAGTCCCACGCATTTGCCGAGGAGCTCGCCGAGAAAGTACCCAGAGTTATTGTTCTTGGCCTTGAGATGTCGATCGGAGTCTTTGAAGACGTCCTGAATATGCTCAGGTTTGGTCAGGACACTATGGCATCAAGTTCGTTAGCAGCTGGAAGTCGATGGGGCATCGAATTCATACACTTCTGGCGTAGTTCCAGACCATATGCGATAGATAGGTCCATGTTGTTTCTGCCACAACAGGCTGTTTTCACTTCCGTGGAGGAATTTGGCCGCGTCTCCTTGGCCGTTTGGGAATTGATATTGGGCCGATGGCAGCGCAGATTTGTTGTAAACGTGACGAACAGGATATCGTAATGTTAATAAGAACTACCAGCATGCTTAGCAAAGATTCTCCGGAAACTACCATGAACACTTTACATTCAAGATCCATGAGATGCAGGCGTTTGAACATAATGCAATTTTGCGTCGCAACGCCTTTGTGCGTAGAGCAAGAGAGAAGATAGTGATGAAAGGTACCAATAGCTGCCATTGGAATGGTATAATGCGAAAGTCGAACATGATGGACTTGGTGGTAGATAGAGTGATAATACACAATAGGTTTCAGTGTTATCTTGACACTTTGGAAACTCGGGATACAACTCTGTCTTGAATACAATGCCACAGAAGTCTTGGGCGCACCCTACTCTCACAGCAACTGTACATTGCACGACATCGGCCCCCAAGTCAGCCTGTGACCGGCGTTGATATCAAATTGCTGGGCTATCCTGCCGTAAGCAAAGCCGACGAGTGAGTTAGAGGCCGACGATAGTACCGACTAATCTCAAAGGCCCAAGATTGTTCGGAGGTTTGGATGCAAGGCAGCGCGCAGCTACTCCGACGTGATGCACATCTTGGTCAGAATCCCGTAAGGGCCGCAAGGAGCAACAGCTATGATATGCCGAATATTGACGCAAAACGAGTACCTCCTAATGATAGAACAGTACGACGATGGTGCATCAAATCTCGCATCGCATTCAAAGGGTAGGAGCAGGAAGACTATCGAGGGATTTCAGAGGCAGCAGTGCTTGCCATCACTCATGGAATACCCTGAATTGATATCTGCATTACACACCGAAGCGTACTCATTCTGACCCTAAGACAGTTCAAAGTTAACTAGGCTGAGGCATACAAAAGAACCATTTGAAGGTTTTTATATCCTCAGCCAAACATACAACATTTCGAATTGCTCTTACTTAGAAAACCACAGAAACATCATCGCCTAACACTCTAAAAATTTGCACTAAACTTTCGTGATGGGTGTTGTGTCGACCACTGTTGGGGTGCTATACAAGAGGTACAGACATGATTGGTTCGGCGTTCTATAAGCAACGGACCGCAACAACAAACCATCGCAGTAACAAACTCGGAGACTTTCAAACACCTGCCAAGCAAACCCTCAATCAACACAACGGTCTCCAGCTTTATGCTTCTCAATGCCCAATCGACGGCGCCGCTTCCAACACGCTCTTGAACGCCGGTCGCGCCGACATCCTCTCGGCCCATTTCTCGATTCTCGGCCAGTTTTTCGCCTCCACGCCAAGAAACTTGAACATCCACGGCATTGCGAAAGGGTAGTAGGCTAGATCTGCCAACGTTGGCCGGTCCTTGACTGCGATGTACTCTTGGCCGGGCTTGGACAGCTGTTTCTCCAAGACATCCCATTGCTTGATGGTGTTCGAGTGGAATCTTGGAAGCCGGACCGTCAGTAACACATTCCATCGTCACAGAAGACTGCGCGTGCTTACTTTTCAATGGTACGAGGGAGCAGCACTGGGTTTGCTCTGGTGGGATATCCCTTGGAGAAGTAGAGCCAGTACTTGGCGGTGGCCCTAGATTGGAATTAGCATTGCCATGCGAGGAGCAAAATGCCGAGCTCATACCCTATCCCGGCAGTCTGGTATTCGGTCCATGACATGACAGCGGCCTTCTCGGCTGCTGTACGGCCCGTCCAGTCCCCGTTCGTGTCGAAGCGATCCGCAAGATACTGAATGCATGCAGTTCCCTCGAACACGATTGCGTCCTCTCCGGTGACAGGATCCCTGTCACGGATCGCGGGAACGTAGCGTTCGGGGTGGATTGAATAGTACCACTCGCTGTGCGTATCGATGATAGCAAGGACGTGCGGGGCGTTCAATTCTCGCGCCAGAATGAGTGGCTTGATGTAGTTGATGTACGAGGTCTCGTCGGCTGGCTTGGTCGTGAGACTCACAAACTCTTTGCGATGATATCTGTAGAGGCTCGCGTACCTTTGATAACGTAGAGAATGACCCGTCCATCGTACTCGGGATCTCCCACAACCACTTCTACATCCTGGAAGTAGGCATGCTTTCCATTTGTGACTACTTTGTCGTTGATAACAGACATGACGAACTGTTTTGTTTGGAGATGGATTTCTGGGGGAGCAAGATTACTGTCTGTCAAAAAGGGTCTGTAAAAAGAGTTTGAGGTTTTTCGCGCACCACACTTCTCCTTCTATAGCTGACACCGCATGACACACTCAGCGGCTCGCTCAGGCATCCGTAGTCATCTCATAGAGCCGACCGGCTTGGCCAAGGTTACCGTATCCCATGAGCCACTCCAATGTACTAACGGTCCGACAGTGTCTAATCAGGCGTCGAGCAAATACAACAACCCAAGTATTCTCCACAGACGACTAGCATATTGTATTGTTTTGCGACCGATTTCTTGCACGCAGCAACGCTATCACACCTCCCCACATCATGGCAGAACTATCTTCAAGAATGCAAAAGCCAGTGTCGGCCATCTTACCCAAGATCGCAGCAACCATCTCCGAACGAACCAGCACGACTCCTAAAATTGACCTCGCTACCGCAGAGAATTGGCTCCTCCGACCGGAGATCCTAGACATCTGCAAAGAGGCCGTACAAAGCAGCCTTACGTTGGCAGTAAGCAGCCATAAATTCCTCGACTGGAACGACGAAGGGTGTACTGACCGCTTAAATAGCATCTGTCCTACCCTGCCGGCTTCGGCGGAGATCCCAAGCTCCAAGCGACTCTTGCTACTTTCTTTAACAAATACTTCAATCCTGTATCCGAAGTACGAACGCAGGACATAGCCGTGACGCCTGGAGCAAGCAACTGTCTAGACTCATTGCTTTTCAGCATCTGCGAGGTTGGCGACAGTATATTGGTTGTCGCCCCATATTGGAGTAAGTCGGTACCAGATCTTATAGCAATTTCACATCTGACTCGTATCGAAGGTGGTTTCGACTTCCATTTCGTGCTCCGTCCAGGGATCAAGATCATTCCAGTTTATACCGAGTCTTGCGATCGCCTCAACGAGCCCAACCGTCTCTTGTCAGACTCTTTGGTCCCCGCTCTTGAGGAAGCTCTGCGGACGTGTGAAGATGCGGGTCGTGTAAAGGCGCTTGTACTGAGTAATCCGCATAATCCATTTGCGCGATGCTATCCGGAGCATGTTCTGGCTGAAGCTATCCACTGGTGTGCAGATCATAAACTGCATTATGTTTCTGACGAAGTATACGCCCTGTCTGACTTCTCCCGCGAGAACGATACACCGGATGGCAATGGAGACATGCCACCGAATGATGAGAAATCCCGCGATGAAGTTAATGACACCGTGATCGAAGCAAATCCCGCTACACCATTCATATCCGCACTCGCCCTCCATCTCGACGCTGAAAAAACACCGCCCATCAGCATCATCTGGAGCACATCCAAAGACCTCGGCTCCAGTGGCTTCCGAATGGGCGTTCACGTGTCTCGCATGCGCACTCCAGCACTCCAAGACAATGGCCACACCGACGAAAACCACATCCCCGAGTCCAGCCCTTCGTTACTCACAATATCCCTCGCTCTCTTGTCGACAACCCAGCTCCCGACAATCTCCATGCTCCTGACACATGCGCTGCTCACTTCTGCTTCTTTCGACACACTCGTGACACAGAACCGGCAACGACTGCGCCGCCACCATGGAGTTGTCACGCGAAGGTTACAAGGCTGGGGCGTGCCCTTCGTTCCGGCAACGAGCGGGCCGTATCTACTTGCGCAGCTCGGTGCTATAATGGAGGGTTCGCAACAACAGGATCGCAAGGACTCGCCGGTCGCCGATGAAACTGCGCAGAATGGACTTAGTGAACGAGGAAGAGTATCTGACTTTCAAGGCCGCGATGTGGCGGAGGTATTGCGGAGCGAAGCTGGTGTACTTGTAGCGCCCGGGCAGTCTTTCCACATGCGCGGTCAAGGGTTGGAGCTGGGCTGGGTGCGGATCACGTTTGCTGTGCCAATGGAAGTTCTCGAAGATGGACTAAACCGTATTGAAAGCACGCTGGAGCTGGGAAAATCTAAAAAGCCTAGAGGCGAAGTCGTGTAAGTAAAGCTAGTCAGCCACATCGAAATTCTGTTGCACCAGCACGCTGTGAAGGAAGCAAACGAGATTGAAATATGATTCAGTTCTACACACAATCTATCATGGCGCCGAATCCTCCTCAGTCGGCTCAGCTCCCAACTGACCAACTAGCCCACCTGCCGCAAAAGAACCCATGGCGACTGCACTAGTCACGGCAGGCATAGGCGCAGCGCAGTCTCCGATGGCGAATACACCGGGAACACTTGTTTCGTAGAATGGCTGGTTGGTCTTGATGACGCCCATCTCAGTCATTTCTAGCGAGAGTTGCTCGACGAAGGGACCGCTGACTTTGCATTTGGGCTTGTGAACCTGTGGTTTGATTAGTTTCTATCCAAATGAATCGGTAATGATGACTTACAACAAAGCCATGCGAAACACTAGATCCGTCATCCAGATGCACGATAGTCTCAGACGAGTCCTCCTTGACCTTTTCCAGCCGAGTTACACGGCGGTTGTCGACTGAGATCACAGAGTCGCTCCCCAGTGCCATGGCGACCTGCTGTTGAAGCTCAGAAGATCCATCGGTGTAGAGGACGACTTTCTTCGCAAGACGTTTGGCCATGCGCGACAGATGCAGAGCCGGTGGGAGCTTGGCAATGTCGCCGATTGCCAATACGCCAGCGGAGGCAGAGTTGCGGTCCTCGAATCCGTCGCAGAACAAGCAATGGTATCTGCATGTATCTCGTTAGTCTGCTGCGTTGTAATTGCTCTATCGAAAAGACTGAACGTACACTCCGCGACCCCAGACGTCATCATAGCCGGGAATGTCAGGATAGATATCAGTCATTCCAGACGCCAAGACGAGCTTCTTTCCTGTCCATGTCGTCCCTTTCGCATCTGTCGCCTCAAAGCGTCCAGCTTCGGTGCGACGAACCGACTCGATCTTAGTCTCCTCGAACTGGATTGTTTCGTAGCGCGCCAGAATATCTGAGCGGCCCTTTGCGCGGAAGTCGGCGGGATCGCGATGATCCCAGGTGGGCACGTTGTGCATGTGCTTGGTGCGAGCATTGCGGTAGACGCCAGAGTCAAACACGACAGCCGTGTAGAGTTGACGTGCGAGACCTGTTGCGACAGCGAGACCAGCTGGCCCGCCGCCAATGATGAGAACGTCGAGAGTAGGCATAGTAGTGGTGCTGTAGAAGGACTGGGTGTGTGGTCGAAATATGTTGGATGTGAGACAGGCTCGGACGTGTGGAATGAGGAAAAGGTTGGGGGCAGTTCTGAGGAGTCGCATTGTTGACTTGATATACTGTTGAAGTAGGTGCGAAGCTGTTGGCCTGTTGTTCGCGCTGACTTCTTGAATGGTTTCCCATCATGTCATGTTGTTCTAGCATATCATTGGCTAGTCGGCGACATATCGAGAGCATGTGAATGTTAGCGAGGTCAAAGTCTCCGACCGGGCGCGGCTAGGCAACGGGCCGCTGTAAAGATTTCCTGTTACGGTTAGCTTGTTTCTTTCCGCTTTCCTGATTTGAACCGAAGTAACTCACCTTCCATGCTTGTGGATGCCGGAACGGAACCAACATCTTACATTCTTGTGGAATACAGAAACAACGAGCAGCCATGTGTAATGCTGTGGCAGGCAACCGGGTCGGTCGCCGCTGCACTTTGCTCAGGTACATTCAGCTCGCTGACAGACGCCATCAGGTTACAAACATACAAAAACAGGAGGATATGGAGGATAGAAATCCAAAGACAAGGTTTTCACATTCTTCAAGAAAGACAAAAGATTATCAGACATCATCATGCCTTCCCATCCGTTCGGAGGAAACAACGCCACCACAGTGCTGGAAGGCCTACAACAAACCCTTCGCGAGTCTATTGACGCCTTGACTAGCCCCAAGGTAGCCGCCGAGTTGCAGGAAACACTTCACAACGACAAGCGCTTGCCAGACCAGGACATCGCAGGTCTTGCATCCGAAGTGATAGACCTCGTGTCCAAGATAGAGCAGCTACTTCAGCCAGCGCACTTGGTCCTGGCGGATCACTTTTTGGGTAGCGCCATGTTCTTGACTAGTTTTCGAACTCTCACTGACGCAACTCAGGTTACACCGACACCAAATGTCTCGTAGCGGCCAACGAGCTTCGTCTGGCAGATATCCTAGCTGACGGGCCACTGACTGTTCAGGAACTTGCACAAGCGAGCTCTGCGCGACCAGACCGCCTCGGTCAGATCTTGGTGCCACTTCGCAACAACGGCGTCTTCAGTTATGACGAAAGCGCTGGCACCTACGCCAATACGCACGTTTCGACCCTTTTGCACTCCAAACACTGGACGCAATGGCACAACTGGGTTGAACTGTATGGCAATCAGTTTTACGACATCGCTCGCGGTATCCCCCAGTCAGTGCGTAGTGACGCGACCCGATGGGCCGCCCAAATCAACTACGACACCGACATGAACATGTTTGAGTACTTCAACGCTCAGGGCTGGATGCCTCAACTGCACCGGACCCTTGGTGGCGGCGCAACAGCCATGGCGCCCGGCATCGTTGAAGACTACCCCTGGAACGACATCAGTGACAAGACTGTGCTCGACGTTGGCGGCGGAGGTGGTTCGTTCATCGCAACATTATTGAGGAACTTCCCTACGATGCAGGGCAGCATCTACGACCTTCCGCACGTCATCGCTCACACTTCCGACCTCTTCTCCCAGGGTGGTACGTTCGAAGATCTCACCGACCGAGTTCCGCAGGCACACCTGATTGGCGGTGACTTCATGAAGTGGGTGCCGCCATCTGAAGTTTATACGATGAAGTGGTGCCTGCACGACTGGACCGACGAGCCAGCCACAACTATCCTGCGCAACATCCGCAAGGCCATCGTGCCAGGACCAGTGAGTCGCTTGGTAGTCCTCGAGTCTATCCTCTCCGATGGGCGCATGGGCAGGCTCTCGAGGTACGGAGATATCAACATGATGATGACCGCGAACGGCCAGGAGAGAACACTAGCGCAGTGGGAGAAGCTGGTGAAGGAGGCTGGTTGGAAGATTGAGAAGATTCACCCGCTGAGGAACGCTTGGGTCCAGGCGATCGACCTTCGCCCTGCGTGAATGACCGAGAACGTGGTGAGAAGAACTCATATTTTGAATAAGATACAACTTAATCATGAAATCTTGCTAGAATCAATGGTACGGAATCGAGTTGTTAGAAAACGGCGAGACGGGCAACCCATGTTCCGATCTGCATCGATAATGATGTCATCATAGAATTTCGTGATTGGTCAACCCCTCCCTCCACATGGTCAAATCCGCGCGTTCGGAAATCACGGACACAGAAACACCACGTACCAGGGCGTCAATAATGTGGCAGCCTAAACTAACTTCAACGATAAATATGCCTTTATTGCCACCATGTTATCAGATCTGTCAGCTCAGCATCAAGCCTTACTCAGCTTCTTTCATCTATAACATCGGACTTGAAATATCCCAGCCATGTCACAGAAACCCCTGTCAATCCTCATATCAGGCGCAGGCATTGCGGGTTCCTCGCTAGCTTTTATGCTTGCGAGCCATCCCTCATTCAACCTCAAACCGGTCGTCACGCTTGTTGAGCGCTCCACCGAGCCACGCACCACCGGCCAGGCGATCGATATCAGGGGTCCTGCGGTGGGCGTGATTCGCCAGCTTGGTCTGGAGCAGAAGATTAAAGAGAGACACACGACAGAAGTCGCAGCTGCGTTTCTGAACTCCCAGGGAAAGATAATCGCCCAACTTGACTCTACCGGTGATGCCGATAAGCAGAATGCGACCAGTGAATTCGAGATCCTGCGCGGCGAGTTGGCGGGGTTGCTGCTTGATGAGGTGGAGATTGCAAGACAGACCAAGGGGGCGGCGGTGAATGTTGTGTATGGTGAGAGCATCAAGTCGCTGACAGAACAAGATGATGGCGTGGCAGTGCAGTTCATGAACGGGAAGGTTGACGCGCAGAAGTTTGATGTCGTTGTTGCGGCTGATGGGATCTTCTCGAAGACGCGGTCGATGATCTTTGGCAAGGACGACTCTCCGGACTTCATAAAGCCTTTGGGGTTGTACGTTGCCTTCTTCACTGTGCCACGTATCGAGCAGGATGACGATATCTGGCGTTGGTATCCAGCTGCTGGCGGCCTGGCCATGCACTTGCGGCCACATCGCAGCAAGAAGACCATGGGCGTCTATCTGAGCATCACCGCCCCAAAGAAAGAGCGAATCCCAGAGATTGACGAAGTGCTCACCAAGGATATCAACGCACAAAAAGCCATGATACGCGAGCGATTTCAAAATGTCGGCTGGCAAAGGGAACGATTCCTTGCTGCCATGGATAGCGCTGACGACTTCTACGTGCAAAACACATCCCAAGTCAAAACACCGCAATGGACTAGAGGTCGTTCTGTCATCGTGGGTGACGCAGCGTTCGCTATCATGGGCATAGGAACTAGTCTTGCCATGATCGGTCCCTATGTCATGGCCGGCGAGCTGTCGAAAATCACTTCCAACGATGCTGCTGAGGTCGCCGCGGCGCTGCAACGATACGAAGACATTTTCCGGCCATACGTTCAGAAGAACGACACCATGCCGCCAATGTTCCCCCAAATGATGAATCCGCAGACGAAGATGGGTGTGAGGATGCTCCAAACTACCCTCAGTTTTGCGTTCTGGACCCGGCTCCCGCAACTCGCACAATGGTACTTTGGCGGTGTTGGAGAAAAGAACGAGGACTGGAAATTGCCAGATTATGGCTGGTCAGCGGAGGCTCAGAAGACGTAGTTCTGCCGTGTATGAAGAGTGAGAAACGATCGTTATGGCTGGGTTTGTTCGGGAGAGATGGGATGTCACTATACGTGACAAGATTTGTGAAGCATACGACAGATGATTAGAACGGGTGTAGTAATAACAACTTTCCCCTCCAAAGGCGCACTCATTTTTCTGATGGAGATTTTTACTTTACACTGGCTTGACCATATTCGTCCGTCTTGATGATTGCGTCCATCCATTCATCCGCCCAAGACCTCCGAGACCGAGACCGAAGCCGACAACCCAAATCTCGGGAGCAACCGCACCCGTCTGCCGTCGTATCGAGCGTATTCCCCATCGCCATCCCCAAAACATTTATATATAAGTCTTGGCTCAACATATCTCCAAACTCGGACCGCTCCTCGCAATCCCCATTTCCGACCCACCATGCCAACCCAACGCTCCTTCACCACCGCGCTCATCGACCGCCTTGCAGCACGCCAAGTCGGCTTCCCCCCAGAAACCTGCTCCTACACAGTGACCAGCGTCCGCATCCCCATATCCTCAGGATCCACAGAATTCGAACTCGCAGCCGATTTCTACCAACCCGTGTTACCCAAAGGCGAAACCCCTGCTGGAACAATCTTGATTCGCTGCCCCTACGGCCGCGGATTCATCTTCTCGCTCCTGACCGCCCGCCCGTATGCAGCGCGCGGCTATCAATGCCTCCTCGTGAGCTGCCGCGGCACATTTGGATCTGGCGGCACATTTGACGCGTGGCGCAACGAGGCGCAAGACGGGGTGGGTGTTGTAGAGTGGATGCGGACGCAGGAGTGGTACACGGGGTCGTTTGCCACGATGGGGGGTTCGTATCTGGGCTTTGTGCAGTGGGCGCTTTTGCAGGATCCGCCCGAGGACATGGTGGCTGCTGTGATCCAGTGCTCGCCGCATGACTTTAGCCAGCATCTGTGGGGAACGGGATCGCTAGCTCTGGAATTCGTCACCTGGGGCGAGACGATGGTGCATCAAGAAGGGACGGGGTTTCTCGCGACGCTCAAGAGTATGAATACGCCGAGAAGGATGAGACCGGTTCTCGACCGCGTGCCGTTGGCGGAGGGGGTGAAGGAGTACCTTGCGGGGAGCGCGCCGTGGCTGGATTTCGTGGTTGATCACCCGGATACTTCGGACCCGTATTATGAGCAGATGAAATGCGGACAGGCGCTAGAGCGCGCAAAGATCCCTATCTTCCTGGTGGGCGGATGGTATGATGTCTTCGCGCGACAGACAATGGAGCAGTACACTCGGCTCAGCGCGCACAACCCCAACATCGCGCTCTTAATGGGTCCATGGCACCACATGCAAGTCGGTCTGCAATCATCAATCAACTGGAAGTCGTTCAGCTGGATGGAAGAGCATCTCGCCAAGCGCCCACCGCGCGCAAAAGACGCAGCAGTGAAGTACTTCACAACGGGGGCCGAAACCTGGCGCTCAGTCGACAAATGGCCACCCCCAACCCACGCGAAGGAACTACACCTCCACCCCAACAACCTCCTCGCAGACACCAAATCATCAACTCCTCACCACTCCTCCTTCACCCTCGATCCCAACGCCCCCACCCCCACAACAGGTGGCAACCTGCTCCTCGGCGGCGGAAGCGCAGACGACACGTCGCTCTCCCACCGCGCAGACGTGCTAATCTTCATCACCGAGCCCCTTCCCTCGGACCTAGAAATCGCCGGTCCCATAGTCGTCGAGCTATCCCACTCCAGCGACGACCCGCACGTAGATCTATCTGTCAGGCTCAGCGAAGTCAGTGCGAAAGGGCGGTCGCGAGGGATCACGAATGCATACCAGCGGCTGGACGTGCAGCGAAGCGAGAGCATTGTTACCCTCTCTTTATACGAGCGCGCACACGTGTTCAGGAAGGGGAATCGCATCAGGCTGATTATTGCGGGGGCGTCGCATCCGCAGTTTGCGATTAATGAGGGGGTGGGGGTGGATGAGGTGTCGGGGAAGCTGAGGTGCGTGACGCATACGATTGCCTATGGGGGGGATTGCGTTTCGAGGGTGGTGTTGCCGGTTGTGGTGTAGGGGTTGACGATGTAGTGGCAAAGTACAGCATTGGTGGATCGCCTAGAAACTGGTCAGTCTACATGTCATCGCGCCAACTTGTCGTTTTTGTTACTTACGGATGTACGCTGGAGTCTAGCATGCTCGCTCTCTATCCGTCTATCAACAACGCAGCCTGACGTTACAAACGCAGTGTGAGGTACAGTTTAATAATATCTGTCCGTGCGTGACAGGACATTCTTTGTAGCAGGACGCTTTTTTCATCTTGACCTTTAGCGTTAGGCTAGCCATGCATGGAATCTCTTCACCCTCTTCGATGCTTCGAGTTCCTATCGTCAATGTTTGCTAGCTCGCGCGACAGCCTTCATCTCTTCCTCGTAGACGTTCCTGCATCTCTTTCTAGCGTGCTAGAAGAGCAGGCAAGCTGATGCTGCGCTTGCAACGCGCACATATCAGCGTAATTTTGATGACACTCCACGGTAGTCGGATGGTCCTTTCCAAGGATGGTGTTGTACCCAGTAGATGCCCTCTGATACAGAAGCAGAGACTCATCGAAACGATGCTGTACCGTAAGAAGAAAAGCAAGGTTGTACACGCTCGTTAGTGTGTCTGGATGCTCAGGCCCTAGCACCTTCTCTGACTGCGCCAGCGTCTGCCGGTTTATTGTCTCAGCCTCTTTGTACTTGCCCTGCCTGGTCAGCGCTAACGCCAAGTTGCTCATGCTTGTCAGCGTGAGTGAATGCTCAAACCCTAGCACCGTCTCTAACTGCGCCAGCGTCTGCTGGTATATTGTCTCAGCCTCTTTGTACTTGCCCTGGCTGTACAACACTGTCGCTAAGTTGCTCATGCTTGTCAGCGTAGAGGGATGCTCAGGTCCTAGCACCTTCTCTCGCTGCGCCAGCGTCTCCTGGTATAGGGCTTCAGCCTCTTCGTACTTGCCCTGTTTTCTTAGTAGTAACGCTAAGTTGTTTATGCTTATCAGCGTCTTAGGATGCTTAGGCCCTAGCAGTTTCTCTGTCTGCACCAGTGTCTGCTGGTTTATTGCCTTAGCCTCTTCGTACTTGCCCTGCCTGCCTAGCACTTCGGCCAAGTTGTTCATGCTCGCTAGCGTGGCCGGATGTTCAGGCCCCAGCACCTCCTTCCTCAAGGACAATGCTTTTCTGCACGATGCCTCTGCTGGTGCATATTGCCCTAGACTCTCTTGACACCAACCTATTCGTCCTAGAAGTGAACTAATCGTCGCGCCATCTACAATGTCAACGAGCCCAGCAACATACATTGCATGTGGGAGGTACGCGCTCCAGACTTCCTTTCCTTCATGCTCGCCGTACGGCACTAGTTCCTCGGCTCGGGCTGCTGCTGTGCCTGCCCAGTTCGCCCGCTCGCCACGTCCCTCCAGCCACCCGATCAACGCCATGTGCACCAGTCGGTGCATATCGAAAAGCCTCTCTTTGTTGGATCCTGGCACAGTCTGCTGGCGCTCTGTGATGAATGCGTATCCTGTCAGCGTTCCAAGTGCTTTCGTCTGCTGCACAGAAGATCCTCCCGGCAGCAACAGCGACTGAGGAATACCAATGCGATCAATGCAAGCTATAAACGAGAGGTACTCTGCTGCAAGAGGGTCTTGTCTGCGGATTTGCTCGAAGGAGATATGCCACGTCTTTGCAACCGTGCTGTCCATGTCCCGATATCTGCTTGGATCTTCAAAGTGCTCGCTGAAGAGCTCGGCTTTTGTGCCAGCATGCTGGAGTAATGACACGTATTCGGAGACTAATGTGTTGTTCTGATTGATGAAAGCGGCTGCCTGCACGATTGCAAGCGGCAGGCCTGTAAGTTTCTCCAGCAACATTTCAACAGCCGCCTCATCGTTCAGCAATGCTTGTCTCGTCGTTCGCTGAACAAGCAGCTGCCTAGCCTCAGCTTTACCCATATCGTTCAGCTCGAGGACATTACTCTGGGTCAGGTCTGTAGCTGCCTTCCTACTGCGAGTAGTGAAGAGGATTGCGCCTTCATTGCTGTGCGGAATACTGTCGATCAAACGAGCTGATTTGGGGTTGTTTTTGTCCACTTCCAGTAAGACCTTCGAGTCATCGGCATTATCGACAATCATTAGCCAATTGCCCAAGTTTCCCAAACTCAATCTCTCCTTAACGAGTCGTTTACAATCCGCATTGTCATCGCTGATTCCTGGTATACGAAGACAGATTCCAATTTCGCGATAGGCAAGCTCGAAACTCTCTCGACTCATAGCAGGTACCCAGAAAACTAAGCGTCTGGCGTGCCCCGCAAGTGCGCAATACGCAAACTCGAGAGCAAGTGCTGACTTTCCGCATCCTCCCAGCCCATATATCGTCATCCGCCGGTGGGTGTTAGGTGAAAGCAGGGTTTGTTCGATTGCCTGGAGCTGGCTCTCTCGTCCGACAAAGAGCTCGTTTCGGGGGAAAGGTAGCGACAAGGAGACTACTCGTGATTAGCTAAGTGTGGTCCGTGCAGTGCAAAAACACCAACTTCAGAGGAATTAAAATTTTTGAAATCTCTATACCTAGCCCCTCTAATATACTACTATTTAATTTAGAAAGGTTACTTTACTTATATTTATAAGCTAGCTAGCTCCCTAAAGCCCTAGTATTATTATTATAATAGCACTACTTTTTTAGACTAAATAGGTAGTAAGTATCTAAACTTATAACCTTAAGACTTACTTTACTATATTTATAATAGTACTTAAAGTATACCTAGAAGCCTTTACTAGTAATAGAAAGGCTTCTCCTGTTAAAAGAAATAATATTACTGCCTTTATTTAAGACGCCCTTAGCTTTATAAAGTACTACTATACCTACTTAGCTAAAAGTATCTAATAAACTAAAGATATTACTACTATAATAAAGAAAATTAACTACCTTTATTAGTAGTTAATTAGAAGGATAGGTAAAGAATACTACTATAATATTAGCGTTATAGAAAATTAACTCTTAGCCTTAAATATTATAATAGAAGTTTTATACTTTATTTAACTCTATATTTCTCCTTTAGAAACTCTATATATAGGGTAAACTAATAGAAATCTTAAGGTAATTAGAATTATAATTACTAACCTAGTATACTATAACGCTTTTATATTAGTAGAATACTAAGAAACTTTAAAAAAGAGTATTTTACTTACTTTTACTAGCTTAGAAAGAACTAAAATTTAATATATTTAAAGATTAAGTTTAGAAGACCTAGAAATCTTTATAAAAGACTAGGAATTCTATTATAAGATTTTAAAAACCTTAGAATTCTAGCTACTATAGATAGTAGGCGCTTTTATTAATACTGCTTATTTTAAAGTATTAGTATATAGAATACTTATTAACTAGATAAACTTATCTAAATAAGAGAAATAGGCTCTTATAGTAACTCTTAAATTAGATAATATAAATTCTATTTCTAAAGCTAATATTTTATATATTAGCTAGCTTAACTTTAAGACTAGTTTTAAAAAGATATATACTTTAGTTATTCTTACTCTTAATAACCTTAAAGATACTAATACTCTTATTTAGTATAGTATTATATAGTAAAGTAAGAAGCTAAATATAGTTTTTTATAACTATGCCTAGTAAATTACTTAATACTTTAACTACTATTAATATAGATATACTACTATAATATAAAGATATACTAGAACTTAGTATAGCTAGCTATAGGTATATAGACTATATACTAGAGCCTATAAGAAGAAAAACTATTCTTTAAATTTAATTAAGAAGTATATAAACTGCTAAGGCAATTATATAGTTATAGATACTACTTATAACTTCTATACTTAAGAAGCTACTTAGGTTAAAGCCTAGAAAGAAACTTTAAAAATTTAGTATAATATACTAAACCTAAGACTACTAATAAGACCTTAAGTAAATAAATAGAATTTAGAAGCTCTAGTAAACTTTAAAAAAGAAAGGCCTCTACTTACTTTTATAATATTAGAAAACTTAGATAGCCTAGTTTTTTAGAAGAATACTTTACCTCTTATTAGCCTATATACTAAAGCCTTAGAGGCTAGGTTAGAAGAAGTAGCTTTATTATTACTTATAGCGCCTCTCTTAATTCTACCTTCTATAATTAAAAGTATAACTATAAGTTAACCTCTTTTAGAGGCTTCTATTACTAAAAGTATCTAGAAGTTAAGAAATATATTAGATAAGCTAATTATATACTTTAAGAAATTTAAAGTAAAACTAGAGACTTTCTTACTAAGACTAATACCTAAAATAGTATAATCTACTAAGTAAAACTTACTTTCTTTAGAGCTAGTAGTATATAAGGCTAAGGCCTTATATAATACTAAGCTAGAAGAAATATAGGCTACTAAAATAGTAGCCTTTTAGCTAGTAAAAAGAGTAGTAAGAGAATATTAGATTACTAAAGGTACTAGGCTTACTAAATATCTATACTTTAATTAAGAAGGTAGTAATAATCTTATAGAATTAATAGCTAGTAATAGGAACTATAGTTAATATTCTTTTATATTAGCCTTAGACTTAACTACTACTACCTAATTAAAGTAAATAATTAACTAGCCTAAGAAATACTCTTAAACTCTAGACCTATAAAATCTCTAAAAAAGAAAAGACTTACTAGTAGTAAAAGGCTTTAGTAGACTTAGTAAAACGCTTTTACTAGTAAAATACTAAAACCTTAATCTAGCTAGTAGTTTAGAAGACTCTAAATTTAAAGCTACTACTTTAACTAATCTTTATAGTTTAGAATATAAGTATAAGGATATTTAAAGAAGAAAAGGCTAGAATTTCTACTCTTAGAACTTACTATTATCTTTTATAATATAGGTAAGGCCTATAAAACTTACTTTATATTTTTAGCTAATTAGGCTTACTTTAAAATAGATATTATTTTTATATAGAAACTATAGTATAATACTTTTAGTAAAATATAAGTAACTATAAATTATATTAAGTACTATACTATCTTTAAACCTATAAAGAATATTAGAACTATAATCTATATCTATAAGAACTTAGGCCTAAAGGTAACTAGAGTTTTTAAAAAGAGTACTAACCTTTTAGTAATTTTTCTAATAACTAATAAAGAAACTAATATTCTATTAGTTAATATCTATAACTATATTTCTAATACTAACTTAACTATAGTTTTAAGAGACCTAGATACTTTTATCTTTAAACTTTACTTAGCTAAACTATAAGTAGAACTACTAATAGCTAGAGATTTTAATACCTATTAGTATAAATAAGATACTAGGCGCCTAAGTAATTTAGTAAAGAAGATACTCTTCTAAATCTCTATAAGTTATTTACTTATCTAAATACTACTCTCTAGTACTTTAATATATTTCTTGTAATAACTAGATAGTTAATTCTAGTAACTTTTAATAATTAACCTAGTCTTTATTTTAATAATACTTATTTATTATATATCTAGCTATAAAACTATAGAAAAAGCTAATTACTTCTTAGACTACCTATTTATTTATACTACTATCTAAGATTATGCCTCTAAAAAGACGCCTCTCTTTAAGAAATTTATATAGAATAAGACTAATACTACTAAATTAATAGAATTCCTAGAATCCTACCTATATTAAAGCTAAGAACTAACTATTTTAGATATTAACTCTTTTAAAGAATATACTATACGCCTACTTACTTAGCTATAAAAGGCTATTAAATTTACTACGCCCTAAAAGGTTATTAACTTATAGTTTTCTTAACCTAATTTCCTAGAATAACTAAATAATCTTAGAAAGAAGGTAAAAAGGAAAATACGCTACTAGCGCTAAAGTAAGAAAGGCCTAGGCTATAGTAAAACTATAGCCTAGTTAGTTAAGCTATAGAAATCTAGCTATAAGTATTAAAAATAAGAGTCTTTTTAAAAAGATATTAAAAGAGCTAATAATACTAAAGACCTATAGAAGGTAGTTACTATTTAAAAATACTAAAATAAGCTAAAGCTTAAAGAGAAAAGGTTGCTAGCCTTTATAATTAAAGAATAAAAAGTAGAAGAATTAAAGTAAGCTAAAGCTTTAAGAGCTAAGTTTTTCTCTTAAAAAACTAATAACCTTTATAACTTTATAATTAACTTAGGATCTTACTCTCCTCTTTATAAATTATACTATATTACTACTAATAAGATTTAAATAATAATTCTTTAAAGTACTTTCTAAAAGGCTCTTAGAGAAGATAGTATCTTCTAGGAAATCTTTAAACTAGCTAGTTAAGATTATAACTCTAGGCTTATTTAATAGCTTATATAGATTTTTAATACTATAACTACTTTAGAGTACTACTTCTCTGTTTTTAAACTTTCTATTATAGTTCTACTATAGAAACTAGAGAAACTAGAGAATATAGTTACTTTTTATTAGCTAATTATACTACTAAGTACTATAGGTAAATACCTTAAAGCTATTTTAGCCTAAAAACTCTAATTTCTAATTAAATTAAAACTTACTATCTCTAACTACTATTATAGGGGTAGAAAAGGCTGTAATATAGAGGACTATCTCTATAATATAGTAGAATAAGTATATAAAGCCTAAAATTAAGAGCTATTAGTAACTATAGTATTTATAGATATTATAAGAGCTTTTAACTATGTTTTCTATCTAAGACTTCTTTATAATATATTAAAATAACATCTAAAAAGGTAATAAATAGGAATTATAGCCTCTTTTTTAATAGGGTATAGTATATAAATATATCTTTTTAAAAGTATAGGTAAACTAAAAGCTATTAATATAAAGATTTCTTAAGAATCTTTTTTATTTTTATTACTTTTTATTATCTTTAACATAGACTTAGTAAAGATAGAGTAGAAACCTATTCTATTTAACCCTTAATAACTCTTTACTACTAGCTAGATTAATAATATTACTCTATTTATAGTAGGTAAAACTATAGAATAGATATATAAAATCCTTAAAGAGAAGGGCTTTAAATATACCTTATAGGCTGCTTAATATAGTTATAAGTTTAATTCTACTAAATTTTAACTACTATACTTATACTAGCTCTATTCTAAACCTTATAATCTAGATCTAGGTATAACTTTTATAAAATAATATATTAAACTAGCTAAAACTAGTATAATTAAGATTTTAAAAGTCCTTTTAGACTTTATACTTATATTTACTCTATATACTACTACAGTAACTATAAAGATTAAAACCTTACTACTAGCTATCTAGGTACTAGGTAAGTTAACCTAAAGTATTAGTATCTAAGCTAGGCGTAAAGCCTATAAAGCCTATACTATATTAAAATATATAGCTATAGCCTTAGTTTAGTACTAAAGTAACTCTAACCTAAAGGCTATAAAGAACCTAAGTAAGGCTATAATAAGATTAAATAGTATATAATAAAATACTACTAATTAGATTATAGGTAGTTAGTAAAATATACCTAAAGAAGTTACTAAAGTCTTTACTACTTTACTTCTAGCTAAAGAATACTTAGATAAACTTACTACTAAAAATCTACTTTAAATAGCTACTAAACCTTATAGTAAGTAGCTTATTTTCTATATAGATATTAAAGCTAAATACCTAAGTCTCTTAGCTACTTATATTATTACTTTAAAATAAAGAATAAGAGCCTAAGCCTATTAATATATTAAACTAAATAGACCTTTTATAAATAAGCTATAGAAATACTACCTATAAATAGTTTACCTAGAAATAAAAGAAGTAGCCTATAAGTACTATTAGGATACCTATAAACTCTTTTAAGTCTACTAGTACTCTAATAGCTCTAGTATTAACTAAAAGATTAGAGTAGTAGTAGTTTATCTAGCTATAAGAGCTAAATATTAAGCCTACCTAAGTAATAAAGAAGAATACTTAGTATATAATAGTAAGGCTTACGCTCTTACCTTAGTAATAAAGGCTATTATTAAGCTTAAATTAATATAATTAACTATTATATATATAGATAACTATAGACTAGTTTAGGCTATTAGTAAACCTATAGCAAATAGCAGCTAATAATTTATTAAATACTTCTATAACCTATATAGATAGTTTCTATATCTAATTAAAGTTTACTAGATTTTAAGCTATAAAGAAATTCTAGGAAATAAAGCTACTAATAATACTATAAAACGTGTAATAGAGTAGTAGCCTAAGAAAGAAAGAATAAAATAGTAAGCTATTTATAAAACTAAGCTTCCTTAAATACCTATACTTTAATAGTTATAAGCTAGGCTCTTAAAATTATTTAGTTTACTTTAACTAGAATAAAATACCCTAATCTAATAAAATAGTAAATAGATAGTAAGCTAGAGTAGAAAATAACTATAAGTAATTATCTTTAACTTAGACTTTAAGATACTTAAATAATACTAGAATATCTTCTACTCTCTTACCTCTATTATTATAGGCCTCTTTACAGGCTATATAAGCCTTAATAATACTATATATTAACTTTAGATAAGTAAAGTAGAATTACCTATTTATAACCTATACTAGAATAATAAACGCTAAACTATCTACTATATTTTATTTATTTACCTAGCCTTAAGTAGAGATTATAATAAAATATAGGCTTAGGTAGGTTATAAGCTAATAAGTATAAAAGAACTTCTAAGAACTTTAGATATAGCTAGATATACTACCTTACTAGTACTAAAGAGCTGTATACTTTATTAGTTCTAGTATATTAACGCCTTAGCTATTAAATAGTCTATACTTTAAAAAGTTAATAATACCTAAAGGTACTACTTTCCTTTATTATAGTTTACTAAATAAATAGGTAGGCTTTAATAGTAAGTAGAACTAGCTTATACACCTAAGTATATTAAAAAAAAGAAGATAGTATAAACCTACTTCTTTAGTCTACTAAGTAGATTTAAATTTTACTTATTTATTAATAATTTTTTAATAAGGAAGAGTAGCTAATAAGCTACTTTAGGTACTTTAACTATAACTACACCCTCTAAGCTCTAAGAAATAAGAAAGAGTATACTATTAGTTACTTAAGCTAAGATAAAAAGAGTTTAGCTCTCTAACTAGTAGTAGGATAATTAGTTTTATTCTTCTAAAAGAAATAGTAAATGCTAAAGCAGTATAAGTAATAAGAGTATATATAAGTAAGGAAGTAATATTTTTAGGAATAATATTTAGAAGTAGCTAGCAGTATAGTATAACTTATTCTACTTATCTTTCTAAGCTAGCCTTAAAGGGCTAGTAAGGAAATAATAGGTAGGTAGTTAGGTAAATATAGGGGCTCCTAGGGTTAGACCTAGGGGCACTTTAGTATTTGCTAGCAAGCTAGTATTTACTAAGGATCCTACACCCTAGCTACGTAGCCTTTAGCCTCTGTAAAGCTTATAAATGAACCAACCAACCAACCAACCTGGTCCGTGCAGTGCGATGCTATCATAGCCAGACCCAATACACACCGGACAGGTCCTGCACATCTACGTTCTCCCGTCCTTGCTGCCGCTTCTGTATCTCCTCCTTGAGCCGCTGCGTCGCATACTCCTCTCCCTCCCCATATAAAAGCGGCAGGAATACCCCAAAGATCCCTAGCAAACAGTACACTTTATCTTCCTTCAGCGTCGTTGTGCGTTTCGCCGCCCAGCTCATCCGCTTGTCGACACTGAACTCGGTGAGCCTATGACCCCTTAACGCCTCGACAGGTATGCCAGTGACGCTGTGTATCTCCTGCTCTAGCGAGATCCTGCTGCCTAGCCGCTTGCCGTCCTGGGAGAAGAACTCGACGCTGGCTGGCGCTAGTAGCTCTTGCAGCGTCCAGCCTCGTGTAAACCACCGGCTGCGCTGAAAAGCTTGTTGCCACGATATGGGGAAGGCCTCAGGGTTGGTGACCTCCTCCGGCACTGGGACGTCTGTCAGGTATACATAGCACTTCGCTGCGCCCTGGTACCAGCGGAACATGGAGTTGATCGCTGTGTTCAGCTCGTTGTTCGTGGACTTGTCGATGCAGCACGTGTCCACCCAGAAGTACTCGAGGCTATCCGCTGTAGCTCGCTCGCCGCAGAAGCGGATCTTAGCATAGCCGGGCTTATCTGCGCCTGTTCCCGCCAACAGCTCATTATAGGTGACTTCCTGACCGTCCGTCCAGGTGTGTGAGAGGATGGCGTACGGAGGAGCGAGGTCGTCGCTGAAAGACGTCAGCTCGAAGCCGTCGCCTGCTGGGAGACGTTTAAGAAGGCGCATTGTGTCCCCACAGGCGGGCAGAGGTGAAAGTTGCGGGGCAGCAGTAGACGTCCCTGTTGTGCACACGCATGAAGCACATCAAGCAGGCTGCGAGCAGGTAGTTGATGGGCGCGTAAGGCTGTGCTCAGCCACAAGCCTTATGCGCGTCTGACAGTCTTTGGGCGCAGCGAATCTGGGCGCGTAGCAATACCATAGACATGGGTTGAATTGAAGCAACAACCATTGGTTGGATATATATAGTGGCGCAGAGTGGCTGTGCAGATTTTACTACAACGTACGGTAGGTGTATATTCAAGGTGGAGCCTGCATATTCAAGCTAGCAGTCACAGCTAAGATTTCCTGCAGTCAAATCAACTTGATTACGTCATTGTATGTAACGAACAAGAGATGCAGCGTCCAGCCACCCCCTCCCCGATCCACCTTGGAAATACACCCCCCGTACGTTGTACTCACAGAAGGACTCGCTTCGCTACAGCCTGTCTGGCTATCTACGGATTAAACAAGTTTACCGTAAAACTCCTGCTCTTTCGTTTACTACTAGCAGGGCGGGGTGTGAGGCTCAACACGGGTACTAAGCCAAGTAAAGGATAACGGTCCCAGAATTTCCCACTTTTCCCCGCAGTCAGAGCCATGTCTAGCCATTCAGTGAGGCTGTGCTAATTTTCAACTGTTACGCCCCTCTTGCTAGCAGTAATCGAAAGAGCAGTGTTTTACGGTATACCACAGTGTCGCCAGGCGACGATACGAATCACGTGATGTTAGCCCCAGCGCGAACAACAGAATCCTGAGACGTTCAACACCATAATGGGAGATTTGTGTATAGGTAGATAATACACATTCTATCACAATCACAATCCATTGCGGGTGCAGAAAGTCGTGATTCACACTAAAAAAAGTAGTGCTGCATTCTCAGTGGTTTGGTGCATTACCTAATCCCCGTTATCGTCTCACCCCCCAGCATGATAAACTGGACGGTTCTGAGATTGGTTACTACTACACGCATTGATTATCTAGTCATCTCAAAAATGTCTAGCTTTTTCTGACTAGGTTGTCGTCTCACCCTCTATACAAGAAAAAACAGCTCAGTTTCCTAATGTTGTCAGCAAGACAACAAGAACAAGAACATTAAGATTACAACTCTACCACAATAGGTCTAAAGAACTCAGGAAATTATAGTATTTCATATCACCTTATGCTCTTGCTCAATTTCAGTTCTTTAGTCCTCTTCTTACGTAGCGTGGCTGTAGAATTGTTGTCTATGTAGGAGGAAGACTTGAAGACACATCAGAAAGTTGTGCCATTTTTCTCCTTCCAGGGCGTGGTATAACAACCCGTGGTACGCTACGCTAGACGTGCTGCACACCCATCTCCGACTCTAAATCTAATCACAGGTAGGCAAACCCCTTTTTTAGCACAGCTTAGCACAATACAATACAAGAATATACACCACAGACATCCAAGCACGCTACTAGTACTCTAAGCTCCTATATACTACCGGTAAGAACAGCAATAGCTACAAACTCACGCAGAGAAGTTATGCCAGATTACTGCCTACACGAGAAACGACTAAGAGGCACATTCTTTACTTGAAGGTAACCTCTGCAGTCTTGGGGGAAATCGTCGTGCGAAGGGGTGGTGGTACATGACTGCTTGGATGAATGGATGGATGGAAGGTATGGACGGATGAGTGGGTAGGGAGGGATGGGATAGACGGGAAGCAATTGAACAAGTGAGGTGCTTAGAACCCGCAATCATCACAGCCCAGCACGACAACCCAAGAAAAGAGAAACAGTCCTGAAAAACTTCCCCTCCAACATTCCAATTCACTTCCCCACCCACTCAACCCAACCAGCCATACCCAGTCCGTCAAACACCCCATATCAAAACAAACAAACGCCCACGCTATGCCCCCTCCCCCCATCCTCAGCCCAACACCAAAAAAACTCCAGACAACTAATCACTAAGTTCAATAGCATCATCCTGCGTCCCCCCCATCTGTCCCTGTCCCTGTCCCTGCGCCTGCCCCACGAACGAAAACCCCTGCTGTGCCTGACCACCAAAGCCAAAGCCCAGGCCCAAGCCCTGCGCCGGCTGTGCGAAATGCGGGGTAGAATCGTCTTCTTCGTCGTCCCAGTCGGCGGCTTGGTCGGAGGGCATTTCCTCGTCTTCGTCTTCATCTAGGTCTTCGTCTTCGTCAAAGGATACGGCGTCTTCGTCTTCGTCGGCGTCGAAGGCATCGTCTTCTTCTTCTTCGGATTCTTCTTCTTCGTCGTCCGAGGAGTCGAGGACTTGCGCGTGTACAACCTCTGGTTCCGGTACGTCGTCGTCCGAGTCGTCGAGTTCACTGTACACATCCCCTCCTTGTTGTACCTCCGGCTCCCCATCCCCATATTGCGTCTGCGTCTGCAGCGGAAAATAGCTCATCTGCGTGGGAATCGGACTACTCATCCCCTGCACCCCCGAGTTCCTCGCAGACGCAGGCGAACTAATCGCCATCGGCTCATTACGACCGCCAGCCGCAGGCGCATACTGGTCGCGATACCTGCGGATCGCGTCGGGGCCCTTGCCGTACAGATGCTGGGGGACGAAACGGCTTGTTCGTGCCCAGTAGGCGGGGCGGTCTGTTGTGTTGGGGCCTGTGGTTGCGGTGCTCCTGTTGAATGCAGATTGGCGCGAGAGGCTGAGGTTGGGCACGCTGCGGCCGAAGTCGTGGGTTGGGGGTTGTTTGGGGGTGGCGAGGAGTTGTTTTGCCTGGGCGATGAGCTGGCTTGCTTTTCCGTTTCCGTTTCCGTTTACGTTTAGAGATGAGCGGCCGTTGAAAGACGCCGTCCCATTCACAGACTGCGCAGATGACGCGGAGTTGTGCAGCGCGTGTTGTAGTGCGCGGAAGCGCGCGAGCGGGTCGTCTGTGATGGTTGGTGTTGGGGAAGGGGAGGGAGCTGGGGAGGCGATGGGTGGTGTTCTGCGCGGGCGCTTGGGGTCTGGTTTGACTTCTTGCCTCTCTTCCTCGCCTGAACTAGAGCCGAAGCTTCGCTTGCGGTATTTGCTCGGGTCGATGCCCAGGGCGCGCAGTTTGAACCAGTCTGTTTCCGTTCGGTCGGAGGGGACGGTGGATTTTTCGTAGGCTTCGGAGTAGCCGGAGAGCGAGGCGGTGCCGTTGACGGAGGTGGCTGGGGTTTGTACGGATGGCGCCTGTCGGGGGATGTTTCGTGGCGGCCACGCTTGTACCTGTACTTGTGCCGGTTGTTCGATTGGTTCTGGTGCCTGACTAGACCGCCGTTCTTCCGTGCGTCTAGCGCGTCTTGAGTTGGGCGTCGCTGGCTTTTTGAAGGTCGGTTCACTCGTCGCGTGACCGTTCATCGTAGCCGGTGCACCCCCTTCTTCCTCATTCGCCATCTGCGCCCTCAACTCCTTCAGTCTCCTCCTCCTATCTCTCGCCTGTCTCGCTCGATGTTTCTTCTCCAACTGTGCAATCCAATGAGCCATAACAGCCCGCTTGAATCCCAATTGCTTGCGCTGGTTAAATTCCTCGCCCAGCGCCGTCGCCTTCTCCCTCTGAACCTGCAGCAGGACATCGCGAGTAACATTGTCCACCGCGTTCTCAAGAAACTGGTACATTAGTCCTTCATCCGGATCGAACAAGATGTTCATTGTTAGTGTATTATATGCTGTTTCACGTTCCCGCGCCTTTGTTAGTCGTTCCTCCTCTTTCTGTGCAAGACGTTGCTCTTCGCGAATGACTCGCTCTCGTTCCTCTTTCACTCTTCGTTCCTCGTCGAGTTGTTGTTGACGTCGCTGGTTCTCAATCCGGCGTTGTTCCGCCTCCTGAGCTTGCCGCTCCTGTTCGGCTTGTACGCGCTGCTGTTCCTCTGCTGCTTGCTGTTGTTGGAGCGCCAAAGCTTTGCGCTGCTCTTCTTCCGCCTTCTGCTTCTCCTCGTCCTGAGCAACCGGGGCTGCTGGTGTTGGTGTTGGCGATGTTGCAGGCGTAAAAGAGAATGAAGACTTCGCCGCTTCAGCTGCGGGAGCTGGTGCAGTCGTTGTCGTAGCAAACGAAAACGGCGACTTCGTAGCGTTCTGAGCCGCGCCTCCATTCGCAAGATTGTTGGAGAAACCGAATGAAGCTGGTGGTTGGGAAGCGGAAGTAGCTGTAGGTTGTTCTGTTTTCGCAGCGTTCGCAAACGAAAACGACGGCGTCGCCGTCGCTTCATTTGAAAAAGACGTCGCTGGAGTTGACGATTCAGGCTTCGAAGCAGCCGCAGAAGCGAATTTGGCAAAAGGGTTAGTGTTCTGCGTACTATTAGGCGCGAACTGAATTGGCGTTTTGGCCGCATCAAACAGCCCAGGCTGAACGGCCGACGAGAAAGGACTTGCAGAAACCTGATTCGGCTGAGTCTGCGATACCGCCTGCGCGAACGGATTGCCCGACGCAAAGCTCGCGGCCGGAGTAGTCGCAGGAGTGCTCGCCGGACTAAAAGACGGCGCAAAAGCACTGAGATTCGCCGCACCGTTCGCCGCCGGAAAGAAGCCATTCGATTTCGCAGTCGTCGTGTCAGGAACAAACAAAGAAGTTTCATCTTCCATCTCATCCTCAACCTGCATAGCGGAATCCGATTCAAACACCAGCCCATTCCTCCGCGCTTCCTGCACCGACATGCCCGAGATGACTGCCGATAGTGCGCGCCCAAAACGCTTGGACTCGACGATATCCGCGGAGAAGATCTGCGGGCTTGCATCGGCTGGCGTTCGCAGTGGACCCTGTCCGTAGCCCATGGCGATGATGTCGAGATACGTGTGTCCCTCGTCGTTGCGGCTGAACGTGAAGCCAAAGGCCTCGCATAGCTCGACGGCTTCACGATCCGTGTCCAGGCCAAGCACGTATTTCAGCTTGTCGGTCGTCCAGTCATCCACAACAATGCCTACAGCTTTGGAATTGCCGCGGCGATAGGCGCGCCATATGGTGTCCAGCACGACGTGTCGCACGCGCTGGAAGGAGACTTCCGCCGCACAGGCCATGAGGTAGGAGACTCTGGACGATTTGACGAGTTCCCAGAATCTCTTCCAATTCGCCTGGGCCTGGATGAACTTGCTCTCCGTGCGCTTGAAGAGGACCGACTTGAGCGCCTGGCCAATCTCAATGGCCGTCTTGACCCGGTTGTTATGTCGCAGATCGCTGGGCAGACTGTGTAACTCGCTCTCAAGCTGAGTGTTTGCAAAGAGCGAGGCCAGGATCAGTCTGTAGGCCCAGAACTCCGCTTCGTTATCTGAAGGTATGCCCGCACGTCTATTATCGGTGTATCGCTCCTTCAGCGACATCAGCGTCTGGTTGAACTGCTCCATATCCTGCTGGTACGTGTAACTCTCCTTGGGGCTCTGCGCCATATGGTGCATGGAGAGCAGCAGGAAGCGCGCGCTGCGTTCGAGACAGGTGAGGAGGATGTTGATGTCGGGGCGCTTCTCGATGCGCTGGGTGCGCAGGTCTTTGCGCACGGCGCGGGTGCGGTCCCATATCCAGCTGTGCAGATGGTCAAAGTCGGCCGTGTCGAGGCGCTGCATGAGATGGTCGATTGTTTTCTGTCGCGGATTAACCAGGCATTGGGATGTGTTGCGCGTGGTGCACTCACCAGACATGTGGCGGGCGACCGGATCTCCGAGATCAGCTCGACGTCCATGCCGGCTGCGGAGCGCGCATAAGCCTTGACCATGCGCGATTCATCCGGTATGCGTTCTTTTCGCGGGAGGTATTCGGTTTCGGGTGTCTGGGCAAGTTAGTAGGCGAAGTCGCAGAGTAGTCGCTATACATACACATTCCGGCGCCTTGACATCCAGCTCTACTATGCGGCGCACACGCTCAAACTCGGGACACATATCGGTACAATCGCCATACAGCTTGACCGACTCGCTGAGCTTCATCTGGCCATCTGGGTTCATGCGGCCCTCCTTCTGGAATCGCTGGCGGTCGAGGGTGCGCCTTTTCCTGATCTGCGCACGTCAGCGCTTATCTACCAAACCATATGTGCGGCCACTCACAAAGTCGAGTCGCGCCTGGTAGTCCTTCTCGGGATGGGGAGTCGAGTTCCACGCATGGGCCTGGCTAGTCTGGTTTGCAACATTCCTAAATCTTCAGTCAGAACAGGCCGCGAGCGGCACTCCTGGTCTACACCCAGCACATCCACCACTGCCATCACTACCAATTCCACCCAACGCCTCCCCCACATGGACACGCACACCACCACCCCCCATGCGTTCCACACGTTCTTCAGCCAGAAAAGGGCACTCACGTCGCATTTCCTCTTGCAGCATTCATCCCACCACGCCCACCGAATCCTCCCCGGGGCCCCCTCGGCACGCCCTGATTCCCGCGCCCACCACGCGAAAAACCTTGTTGCGCAGGCTTACCCTCCCCACCGCCCGGCTGTCCAAACGCGCCATTCCCCCTGCCCCGCCCACGCGGCGCATTACCGCCTCTACCCCGGCCGCGCCCTGCATCGCCGCCTCTGCCGCCGCGCGGAGCTGACGACATAGATCGCGACGCTAGTCAGGGTGCGGCGTGTTCATGCGGTGTTATCGATGTCGGTGTCTCGAAAATGTGCTTTCGCGTTGTGAATATCGCGCGTTTGTGCTGGGATGGCGTGTAGAATGGAGGGTGCACGTGTAGAGGGACGTGTGGTGTAATGTGGTGTGGAGATGAACGGCGACGGGGGAGACGGCGACAGAAGAGTCGATGGTCGCTGGCGCGCGCGAGACGGGGACAAGAGAGCTGCGAGCTTCAAAGAAGACGCGGGCGCGCTAGTACACGTGGCTTGGTGGCTTGGCGTTGGCTTCGTTTTTCGCCGACTCGCCGACTGGACTCTCATGTTCATCACTTGCATCACATCACCATTGCAGGTTGGAATCTGTGCAAAGAGAGAAAGTTGGAATTTGTTCAAACAAAGCAGATAACATTGACAAAACCGAAATAGGTGATTAGTAGTATTGGACACGTTGTGTCTTTTCTTTTCTCCTCTCATCATCATCCTCATCACCATCACCATCCCATTCATCCCCTCTCCTCTCCACGAAGAGATAACATATACAGCCATCCTCTCCGCATTACCACACACACCATTTTATACACCCCCCAACCCCCCCTTCCCAAACCCCCAATACCTCACTCCCAAAACTCCCCATTAAGCGACACACCCGTGTCGCCATGATTTTTCCTTGTCGTGTTAATCTCGTCGTCGTTGTTGTGATAGTTGTCATTTGCAAATGCGGTTCGTGAAGCGGCGTAACATCGTGTCGTGAGGGTATATCGCGTAGCGTAGCGTGCGAGATGCAAAATCGTTGTTGAAAAGATAGATGGATGAAATAAGTAAGCAAGCAAGTAAGCGCGCGTATGAAAAAATAGGAAGCAAATAATGAAACTGGATAAAACAAATGGAATGAATGGCAAAGGAGAAGACGTTCCAGGAAGAATGCCGAAGCAAACGCTGCCCCTGTGGTGGATGGGTGGGTTGGTTGGTTGGTTGGTATGAGGTTTAAGGTGCAGTGCTGGAACGCCAGACGAGAACGCTGGACATTGAATATGGTGAAAGAGATGCATGGCTGGCTGGCGTCTTGCGTTGGTGCAAGTGCGATGCGAAGATATGAGAGATACAGAGTAGGAAATACAATCTAAAACAACAAGCGCAACACAAGGCACGAGTTCAGTGATGTAACGATCCCCGGCCATTAGTGTTATAGTCCATAGGCAGGCCGTGAAACCCCGTGTGGACGTCCGTCGGCGACACCGTCATGTTCATAGTTGTGGGTGTGAACATCGTGTCATACTCGTACGGGTATCCATGGGTATTGCTCTGACCGATTGGTGGTAAGAACGACGCCTGGTGGACTTGCGTCGAGTATGGACCGTCGAACATGGCCATCTGGAAGGAATTGACGAGATCCGGTGCAGGGAGGGGAGCGAACGATGATGGCGCTGAGTGCGAGAACGAACTTGTGCTAGTGAGAGGCTGGTATAGATGGGTGTTGTAGTTGGCGTGACTACTCGTGTACTGCATGGGCTGACTGAACGATGTCATGGTGGATCGCGGGTACGTTTCGTGCTGGCTGGGTATGGTATGGTTGCCGCCTTTCACATCGTCAAATGACGAGCTGGGTGTTGGCATGGGCCCAGTCAGGTAGTAGTTCTGTTGCGGCTGGGAAGGAGCAGACACTGGTTGTGCTGCGACAGCAACGGGCGATCCGACTTTCCACGGCTGTTGTTGCGGACTTGCCACATTCGACTGGATTGGCGGTGTGCAAGTCCCGGCCTTGATAGTTATTGACTGCGTCGACGAAGCGCGACGAGACATATTCACCATCGTGTCATCGGGCTCGGTATCATCTGCAGAAGCGTTGTTGCTCGACTCTGTCCGTAGCATGGGGCTCGCTCTGTCGACACGACGGCGCTTCATCCGCGCAGGTCGTCGGGGTGGTCGTGAAATCGGCTGCCAGGTGTGGTACTTGCCCGTCCCAGGATCTGTGCCGTCGGCGCCCTCGTACAGATCGTACATGGCGAGATGCTCTTCGTACGACGAGGCCACATCAAAGAGACTAGGCAGGATGCTCTTCAGCGCGCGATCCCGCATTAGATCACTGAAATTAGACCCCTTTGATGACGAGAAGTGCTCGGATGGCGTAGTCTCGATGTTGTACAGAGCCACTTGGCGCAGCTTTGCAATCCAGGAGCCCTTACGCTTGACTTCGTCAATACGGCGGTGAAGAAGCATGACGTCCACGGCAAGGGTCAAGAGGTCTGCAAATTGTGTGAGCTGTGAAATAATGCTGAATGCAGACAACGTGACTCACCTGTTTTGGCGAGATGCGAAGGTTCGTTGTAGTGCACATGACGTGGCCACCAAGGCGGCGTCATCTCGTCCGCCTCCTCGGATGGAAGCTTCTTGTGGTACCTGCCGTATGCACCTAGACGCCTCGGCTCCAACTGCTTGATCCACTGCGTGATGATGCCGCGCAGAGGCTTCATCGTCAGTTCGTCAAAGCGGCGTCGTAGAAATTGCTTGAGCTTCTCAAAGTCACCAATGTAGAATGTGTACGACTCCTCGCTTGTGGCGATGAGATTTTGGCTGTCATCTTCTTCCTCACTCTCGTCACGCACTACTGGACGAGGGCGAGACGTTTCGTCGGCAACAGATCGACTTCTCTTGAGAGATTTTGACTTGGGATTCCTGGGAGAAGACAGGTTTTTGGTTGTCGACTTGTGCGTGCTCTCATCAGACGCATCCTGCTCTTGGTTGATGTTGTGAGAATGGTCGTTGAGAGTGTTGTGTGACAATACTTGACTTGTTGTCTGCGTCTTGATTGGCCTACGCGGTGCTGGAGTCGTCTTTCGCGAGTCTTCAATCCCCTGGAAGTGCTGCTGCTGCGGCTTGAACAGGTGTTCAAAGCCAGGAATGGGCTGGTAGACAGCGTGCTCCCGGCCATCGGCGGTGATAATCTTGCCAAGCGGCATTCTTGAAGCAATAGGTGTGGGAAGAGCAATCTCATTGCATTGCACAACGTCTTTGATCATGGTTTCGGTTGGTGTATGCTGCATCGTATGTCAGCCAAACTGTGGGTGATATGGGGGCACATATGAAAAGCTCGGTTGCCATGACCAGTGAAAACGCTACCGTCCCGACGGTTGGGGTAGCCGCACACGCTAACACTGGCGGACGCGCTTCGGCAGCGCGGGGGACGAAGCCTAGTCTAACGACATCTGAACAAGAAAAACGCACCACGCACCTTAGACTCTGAGCTGAAGTCGCCGTCTTCTGTCAACACAAAAGGATCCTCTCCGAAGTCGTTTATTTGTGCGTCCATCCAATGCCCAGACGGACCAAGTGATCGGTCCTTCGAAACGCCCAGTGGGCCTGCAGCCTTGAACTTGGCCATTGGATAAGGCTCCAACTACCGACAGTTTTCCGAGTAACAGATGCAGCCGCAGATTGCGAATTAATGAGCAAATCTGCTTCTCAAACAGCTGACTGCATACAGAGACCCTGCTGGTTTCTCGTTTCTGGTTTCTGGGTTCTGGAAACGGGGTTGAGTAAGGTAGTCGCTGCACTTGCTCCTTACGACGGTCAGCAAAAGCAAAAGGTATATTCCCTCAGGTGGTCTGATCGATGGGCAGGGCAGCCGTTCGTCATGCGCATGCATGGTAATCGTGAGGACGGTCCATTGACCGCACCCTACACTTCCCGCACAGAGTGTGCTTACCTGAACGAGCAGTGTTCCCGGGACCCGGAAATAAATTGAATCGAATCCGCAAAAGCAAGAATAGACCGTGGTTCCAGTGCTCGAATTCCGTCCCTGATGGATTTAGAAGGGTAAGGTATTTCCAAGTGTTCTGGAGCAGTTGACGGATCCGCCACAGCCCAAAAAGGTACGAGACGTCGGTGGCGCTAGCCAAAGCAAGCTCAACGAGGTGTAATGGAGTTGTAACACAAACGCCCATTCAAGGTCAGTGCCGATCTTAGATGTCACGAGGTAAAGCGGAGCCTCAAACAAGCAACTAACCCAGGGTTCAACTGCTAAGGGAACGGGTTAACAGGAAGGATAGGTACGATAGTACCGGGTTGTATAGACTTGGACTTGACACCTTATGTATACCTAAGGTCTTCTTATCCATCTCGTCTAAAAGACGGTGTTGCAGCACCCTCATCTTTGTTTCCAAGTACATACCCGTTGAGCGACCAGGGACAACAGCTATTTTTTCTCTTCCTGACAGCAAACACTGACCGATGGACCCCCGAACCGTGCAGCGCGGAAGCATCGACAACAGCCGTCGAGGCGGAAAGCCTCAAACGGTCTCCAAGATCCAGGATCCAGGCATGTTCCCGTATCCGCGAGCTGTGCTCCCCGCCAGGTTGTAACCACATCTGGCGTCCAGTATCCGGTTTTCCTCGCGATGAGAAAGTGAGCGGGTAGCAGTACATACGCTAGCATCGCCTTGCAGAGATTTGGACATGTGGCGCCACATGGCGTGCCCCGTCCGGAACCATCCTTCCTAACCGCCGCCCGGTGATCACACACCAATCTGACGTTGATGTGGGCCGTACAACCTAAATCGGGATATGCAACCCCTGGGGGAGTGGGGAGGAGATTCATCTTGAGGACACATCGATGCGAGACGAAAAAGCGCAAAACACCACTACCAAGCAAGGCAGGCAAGCAAGCAATTACCAGCCCTTTTTGCTGCGCCGAAAAGTATCGATACTGGCTTCCAACGTCGGCGACGTGTGAAGCAGGATGTTCCTTGCTACCTCTTACAGCATTGCGCGGATTTCATGTCGCCATCTCTGGACAAGACTGGGTACCCCGACCAGTCCCTCATCGGCCTCTCACTACAACTAACAGCGCAGCGCGCTCTCCCATATGTACCAGCCTCTTTAAATTCGCAAGCCGCGCCAGTCTCCAAATCCCATCATTACATACCCATTACGCCGCATCCCCTCTGACCAACTGTCCATCCCCGCTGATTGGCCCCACCATGCACCCACAATCACATCGACCTTTTTTCTTCGCGACCAAAACCCCGGTCAGCGGTAGACCGATAAACGCAGATGAGAAACAACGATCGCTCCCGCTCCCCCCCCTCCCCCCTCCCATCCAATCTCATCTCGGCGTGATCTCGTCTCATCTCGTCACCATCGCGTTTCCATCGCGCAGTAGTTTGGCTGCCTACGTACGGGCGGATATCTCGTTCCCTCGCCCCGCCTCGCCTGCCCAGGCGAGAGACTGATCCGACGGCCCAACTTGGATACTTGCTTGCGTCCAACCAACAAAAGTTGACGGTGGGTATGTAATCTCGCATCTGCAACGGCTGGCTCGCGTCAGCGACCACCGTGCATGCCCACAGTGTGTAAAAATGCACGTAGCGTGCGCCGTCTTGCGGCCGTACGCTCTTCTCCACCGCTTCACCCCACGCAGCTGCTGCTGCTGTGCTGCTGACACTGCGTCCGGTCGGTGTACTGGCACTGGTATGTATGTGTCGCACGAGTTTTATTCTGTGCATTGTTGGCCATGCGTTCGCCCGAGCGGCAACCGAGAAGGAGCGCGAAAATGCGTCAGTAATGGTGGCTACCTCCATGCGTTGGGGTGTTGCGTGGGCTAAACCTGTTGCTCGCGGGGTGGGACGGGTATATCCTTGCTAGGCCACCCGCTTTCAGAATCACGTACAGCAATCCCGCATGCAGACAGGGGGTTACGTACATGTTTTGCGGACGGCTGATGCAGGCAATTACTTGGCAACTGTATAGTGTGGGCATGCGTATACAGGCTAGTTGGCGAGATGTTCTAGATATCGACCGCTGCGGTTGAGTCGGCGGCCTAGCGTGTCTGTATGCGTTAATGTGGAGCAGAGTCCGGTGCATCTCCACCCATTGGGATTGACGAAGTGAAAAAAGGGATTAACGAGTTGCAGTTTCGAATACATTTTATCTATATACAAGCCAGTCATCCTTTCAATCTATTCCTTCGGCCGTAACGAACCAAGCAGCCTTGTCGTACCCTCCCGTGCAACAATCGCTTATACAACATATAGCATCGTCGTGGGGGGAGTAGCACACCGAACGGTCCGATTTCGACACTACGGCGCCACATCTGCAATTTCTGCGCCATCTCTAAGCCATGCAGGCGGTGAACACGCCTTGCAGGCTTACCGCAAGCCTAGGCGAGGAACATCTCCACCCTCCCCTTTCTTCACGCAAGTATCGACCCATCGTTCACATGGCCCACCACTCCACGACGCAATTCTTACAGAACCTACGACTGCGATATGTCAAGCGAGTTCAGCAAATTTGCCTCCTTCACCAGCTCATAGAACAAGCCCTTCCTTCTTACTAACTCTGCAGGCGAATCAAATTCAGCGACCGTGCCCTTGTCTAGCACAATAATGCGGTCAGAGTCAAGAATAGTGTTGATCCTATGCGCAATAGTGATGATAGTGCGGTTTCGGAACATGCTGCTACGTAGTGTCGTCTGTAGCATGGCATCGGTCTCGACATCGACGGCAGCCTGCAGAAGCAAGTGTTAGCACGAGTGCACACCGACGTTAAGATCGAACATAATTGGCGGAAATGACATACCGTAGCCTCGTCCAAAACCAAGATGTTGCTGGGAGCAAGAAGAGCACGCGCGAGCGAAACGAGCTGCCGCTGTCCAGCGCTGAGGTTGGACCCTTGTCGACTGTCAGTTTATCGCCAGGAAATCGCAACGGAAAATGGGGACGCATGACTGACCTCCTTCATGAACCTGGGCATCCAACTTTCCTGGCATACCTGAAACGTGGTCTTTGAGACGAGCGTGATCTTTGGAATGGTTAGCGATAGTTACACAACAGGAAAAAGTACGAGTTGCATACCTAAAACGCTCCACAACTCTGTGTCGTCATGAACGTGACCCGGGTCAAGATTGTCTCGCACGGTACCCGCGAAGAGCGCAGCATCTTGAGGAATGATGGCTAGTCGTCTACGAAGATCAAGAAGACCGATTGAACTCGTATTCAGGTTGTCAATGCTCACGGATCCTTCGGCGGGTTCGATGATGCGGAACAGTGCCAGAGTGAGCGAGCTCTTGCCTGCGCCCGTGCGACCAACAACCCCAATCTTTTCATTGGGCTTGATCTGGAGGTTGATATTCTTGAGCACCAAACTGAGACCTGCCCGGTATCGGGTACTGTAGTTGTTGAACGACACACCGCCCTGAGATGGCCAGCTAATCGGTGGCCGATTCTTGGAGATGACATCTGGCGCTTCACTAGGTAGAGCAGCATACTCAAGTACACGTTCCACCGATACGATGTTTGTCTCCACCTCGACGGTTTGTCGGACAATCCAGTTGAGGCTCTGTGTGATCTGAAGCGCATAAGACATCGCAAGACCAACCATGCCCGCTGAAATATTACTGTGGCTCGCCACGGATATGATGGAGAAGCCGGCAGATGCCAGAATGATGACAGAGCCGATAAACTCTAATCGCACAGCAAGCCATCGATTGGCGCTGATAGACGGATAGTAGGCTCTCAGATTAGCATCTACTCTCCACTCATTTTCCAGTTCGAAGCGCTTCTGTTGGCTGTAGGCACGGATTGTGCTCATACCACTCAGCGACTCCTGGAAATGCGCATAGATAGGACTACGACTGACACTATCGAGACGCTTCAGCTCCCGCGATGTTCGCAAGTAGTATCTCTGGATGTAAAGGTAAAGCGCGCCTAGCGGCAGGATGAGCGCAACGAAGACCGGGGTAGATGCGGATATAACAACGAGGGTGAAACCGGCTAACGATCCGGTCGGTCAGTCAAATGTTACACAGCCAAGCGACATGGGGGAGTGCATACCTCTGGCGGTGTTGACGAAGAGCATGTTGAAAGTACGGCTGATTGCGTTAGTGTTTTCGTTCACACATGAGTCGCATGGGGGTTTCACTCACGCTAAAACCTCATCTACCTTGTAGATATCGCTGGAAAAAGACGTTAGCAGGGATAAAATTTCCGCCCAGGATAGGCCAAGGAGGAGGCTCGGGATGACCGTTTGCGGGAGACGTTTTGGTGGGTGGGTCTCGCGAGAAATGCCCGTTACCAGACATGTTTAAAACGTACCTTGAGAACCTATTCAGGATACGTCCTGCAGGAGTCGTCTCAAAGAAGCTCATCGGTGAGCGGAACATGGCAAAGGCCATCCGCTCGTGTAACTTCCGACTGGCCTGAGATGTCAGGTCAGCATTGCACGATCCTGATGAATGCGATGTCAGGGGTGTGGTCGCATGCTTACCTCGATCGAACAGAAGATCCACAAGATCAGCGTCTGCACCACAACCAAAGCAGAAGATCCAACACCAAAAGCGAAGTAGATACCGATGTACTTGCCGACATGTGGGTTGCCGCCATACCGTTGATTAACTTCAGACCAGTTCTTTAGCCAAACGCTCGCTCCTGCAGGATGTTAGCGTTTACTCCAAAGAGAAGAAACCGCGACGAGTTAATCGTGTCACTCACCGATAGAACTTGTCTGTGCTCCAAGCAACAGTATGAGATAGATCGCGACAGCTGCAAGGTTGCTCGTCTTTGCATATTCTCCGTACACGGACCATTTGACTTTGCCCTGCTCAGAAAATTCTTTAGACTGCTTGCTTTTCAATCCACCCCCTTCCTCATCAGTGAGTTTGCCACGAGCTCCGTTGAAACTAGCAGTACTGGCACGGCGAAGAGTGTTGAAGCTGTGTTTGCGAGCCGTCCCGTTACCGGGTCTCAACGGCGCAAGAGTAGCAGCGCCCTCTTGCGCAGCTTCAACTTCGGCCTGGTCTTGCTCATCGTCTTCCGAAGCCGGGCTTCCGCCGTACACTGTAGATCCCTCGTCACTCATGACGCTTTCCGATGCGTGGCTATTGTTAGTTTCGTCCTGGTCCTCGTTCAAGGATGCCTTGATCAAGTTTGAAATCTCCCCCTTCATTGCCATAAGTTGGTCGTAACTGCCTCTCTCAAGAACCTTACCCTCACGAAGCAGTAAGATCATGTCAGCTTCCATCAATACGGGTATGGAGTTAGTCGCGAGAATCCTCGTCTTGCCGGCCAGGAGGCCCTTAGGTCCAAGAACATTGTCGATCAGATGCCTTCCAACATGCTGATCGACAGCGGACAAACAATCGTCGAGAAGATAGACATCTGCGCGAGCATACACAGCTCGAGCAAGGGTAAGCCGAGCCTTTTGTCCACCAGATAGAGAGATTCCACGTTCGCCGACCTCTGTCTGGTCGCCATCAGGAAGTTGCAAAAAGTCGTCGCGCAGCGCGCATGCTTTGACAGTCTTGTCGTAAAAATGAGGATCCCAGCGGTGACCAAAAACGATGTTTTCGCGGACAGACGCATTCATTACCCAGGCAGATTGCGGAACGTAAGCGGTCTTGCCTCGAAGAACGACTTCCCCCTTTAGCTTCCATATGTCGCCTAGTACTGATTGCAAAAGCGATGACTTTCCAGCACCCACACGGCCAACAATGCACGCAAGCTCTCCCTTGTGAGCAGAGAAGTTGATGTCGTGTAGAGTACCACGCTCGTCGTTCCTGTTCCAGGTAAAGCTGGCGTCGCGGATGCGAACCGATTCATCGCCATTGTCTTCCACAGCCTCTTCGTGGATAACGGCATTTTCTTGGAGCTCGTCGGCGGTTAAGTAGCTGGTGATGCGACCCACAGCAACACTGGCCTCCACAATCGCTGTAATGACCATGGGCAGAACGGCCAAAGGGAACGTTAACAGATTGAAAAGCGTGAGAGCAGGAAAGACGATATCAGTAGTTAACGCACGGTTCTGTGTCCAAACGAAGACACCGAAAGTCGAACAGGACACAAGGAATGGAGTTGTGGACCATGTGAACGTGGAGATGGCTTGGGTGGCTCCGATTTTGCGAAGCGTCTTCAGTTCTTGATCGTTTCGAATGTGGTTCAGGCGGGTGGCGAACGCTGTAGTCCAAGCATATAGCTTGATCGATTTCATGTTGTTGAGAATCTCGGAGATCAACTTTGTACGTGCGTCCTTGTTCGTCATCTGCTCTTTTTGCAGCGTCTTCATCCATCGCGCAATTACTCCGTTGACAGGTATCATGACGAACATGGCAGCCACACCTGCAAAACAGCTGTAGCCAACCAACTGGTACAATGATAGCATGCACAGGACGATTTGGAATGGAGCAGACCAAAGCTGCTGACCATACTGAGCGAGATCCTGAAGTCGCTGCGTATCTACAGCCATGTAGTTGACGATGTCACCAGTCGACTTGGATGCTCGACCCTCATTTGACAAACGCGTCGATTTGGAGTAGATGGCAGCGGTCAAGGAGGACTTGATGCGCATGCCAGTCTCGAAAGAACGTTGGAAATATTGGTGAAGAAACATAGTTTGGGAAACTGATACAGAAAACATGGCAAGTGCAATAGCGGCACCGCGCACTACAGGCTGAGGATGACCAGTACGGTAGGAATCGACGAAATTGATCAGAAGTCTCAATAGTTGCGGCTGCGCGAAGTTCAAGACGTCGCTCACGGTCTTGATGGCAGCGCCTCTGAAGTACGGACCACCGAACGCACGGAAAAACGCCAGCCACAACGACGGATGCTTCTTCTCCATCTCGATCTTCCAAGCCTCCTCAAACGCCTCTGAAGTGTGTCTTGTCGTGTCGCGTCTTCGAAGATTCCATAAACTGTCCTGGGTGAGGAAGGTCTTGTAGCCACGCTTCATCAACGGTGTCATCCAGCCAAAAGTCAAGACGGAAAAGACGTCCGCGTATTCGTAGGGACATTCATCGTCGTCTCCTAGGGCGTCGTAGTCGCTTAGCCGCTTCTGAATAAAGTATTCCAAGACGAACTCGACGGCAGCCAGACCTACGCTGGCGCAGAAGACTGCAAAATATGCCACATGATCTTCGTACAGTTTCTGCGCGATGAGCGAGCGGAGCTTGACGGCGTATGCGATGAGGAGAAACAGCCAGAAGAAGAGCACGACGCAATTAGCGTTGCGCGACCTCGAGTGCTCGACATATTGCGTGTAGAAGACGACACCGAGCGACAAGATGGTGGCAATAGAGGTCCAGAAGCGGAAGTCGCCAGCCCAGACGTCTTTGAGGTATTGGACCTGGAGTGCTGCCTGCACTGCAGTTGTGGCGATGAGAGCCGCGAGGGTAGCCTATCAGCGTGGACATGATTAGCAGCTGTCAACACAAACGAAGCATTCTCAACGTGTTCGGGACACATGGCGTACCAGTTTTGCGTAGAAATGCCAATTGCGCTTAACCGGCTGGGGCGAACACTTCCTGAACAGATACCACAACGCGCCTGCACCTCCCACGATCCCCCACACGGCCACGACGGCTATCCACACATCGAGAAAACATGGCGTGAAGTCATAACGAATCGGGCTGATGGGCCCCCAACCCTCGCTGTTACCGCATAGTGGCTGCCGGTCGTGCTTGGATGCGGTGAGATAGCCTTGGGCAAGCGGCGTGAAGGACAGGAACGGAGTCTGCTGGCCCTGCATTGATCGTGTCGATGCGATGCTGTCTCTGTGTCACAGAGGCAAAGCAGAAAGTTGATGTCGAACGGCGAGATCAGGCGCGACGTTCGGAAGACGACGCGAAGGCACTTTTAGATGGGTCGAAGCTATCATTGACTAATCGTCATTGCTCGGGTTTAGCCTCTTCGTAGCTCCGACGCGCTGCATGTTCCGCAGCTTCTGCGTTTCTTCGCCATCCCTTGCCAAGTCGACATTAAATATCAACGTCTGTGCGAGAACGTCATAAACGCGATGTGCAGTCAATGTGCAGTCAATGTGCAAATTACTAAGGGCACTGAGGAAGTTCGTCTGACATGCGTGCTCGTCCATCTGACTATTGTAGCCTCAACTGAACCAGACCAACCTTCCAGCCTGTACAGCAGCAACGACGAAAATCGCAGTGTTCAACCATCAAAACAGTTGAGCCTACCCACTGTGGCAAATTTCAACTACTCATCTTCCAGGCAAAAGCTTTAATTACTACCGACATGCACATCTTGTCTCTCTTTACGATATGCATAAGTATAACTATCAGCCACTACAACACAATAACGGAATACATCGACTGGTTTCTTGTTTAGTTCATCTGCTGTTTTGACAAGAAAATGAGAGACTGAACTTTGTATAAGATATTGCCTTCTGCTTCCAACCGTAAATGTCAAAGTCAAGAGAGAGAAGGTGAGGCATTTTGAAGAATTACTTGAAGCAGATTTAATATCAACTTGAAGAGCTGGATTTGAACATTTGAGTTTTTTCCTCCGTAACTGGAAAGAAGTCGCTACTCAGAAGTCACAACCCCCTAGAGCTCATTCCTCTCAGGGTCCTTCCCGTTCAACGCGCCCTTCGTCAAACCTCGAACAACATCATTCAATGTCTCCAGATGCTCAAACTTCGGTGCATCCTCACCCAACCCCCACGCAAACACACCACCAAGCGCTCTTTCCCCCCACAGCAGCTCAGTCTTCCTCTCCATCGCAAACGACGTATCCCACGACCAAAACAACCGCTCCTCCTCATCCCAATAGTAATGTCCCCCACCGACCCCATCATACATTCCACGCTCCATCGCACGCGCAAAAGACGTCGCCGACTCCGACGGAACCTCATCGTGCCACGAGAACCCGCCAGTCTTGCCCAAATCTGCTCCAGTTCCAGGGTCCTCGAGAAGTTCAGTCGCGCATCCCACGGGCTGTTTCGCGCAATCAACACCTTCCGCCGTGCGAAACCACTTCACATAGAACGCGTACCCTAGATTCAACTTCTCAGCTGGCGCCCCGCACTCGACATATGCGGTGATTGCTTCGCGCGACGCCTGCACGCCGGTGTGGTGTTTCGTCACGTTATCGCGGCGGTTCATCAGGTCGTATGTCATGACGTTTAGGAAGTCAACCGACTGCATGATGCTGGGTATCGTTGATGGGGTGAAAGCTAGCATATCGCGTGGCAGGCCGGGAACAGCTGCGGAGATGATTTTCTCTGGCCCGATGGCAGCCCGGATTTCCGCGAGGAGTTGTGGGTAGGCGGTAATTTGCCAGGTTTTCTCGGCGTTGGGGTGCGTTTTATAGTCCTCGCCGTTGCCGCTGGGATGCGTCAGTGGTGTTGCTTGGAGGATGTTGATGTAGTGAACGTGGATGGGGTGGTTTTACCCCGGATACTCCCAGTCCACATCTACCCCTACCCTCAACATGTCAACGCGCAATCCCTGCAGAAGATGGTATTCTGGAATACATACCATCTGCACCTGTCCGCTCAACCATCTCGGCAACCTTCCTCGCAAACCTCCTCCTCCCTTCTTCCGTCTTCGCTGCTTTGGAAAATCCTTCTGTGTCACCCCATCCCCCAATCGCAATCATGACAGCCGTACCCTCAGAGAACTTGGACCGTACTTCTTCGACCGTAGTGAAGAGTGGCCACTCATTTTGCTCAGGATTGTTGAAGATGCCAGACTGCATGAAAGCCAGAGCGACATGTGTCACTTGCGAAATGAGTGCAGGCTCAGGGACGACATTGTGCTGGCTAGGAGAGATTTAGAACAGATTGCAGAATTGAGAGTGGAATGATTTACCCTGTGAGGTACATGATGTAGTTTGGCTTCGTGCCAAGAACGGGTATCACACAGCAGAGCCAAAAAAGAATTGAACATAGCCGGGGAGTCGACATGTTGTTAGGTGGACGAATGGACTTGAGATTCTGTGATTGTTAAATAGAGAACGGAGGGGTGTTCAGTGGAGCGTCAAATGGCAAGAACAATTCACCAATGGTATCACTTGATTACTAATCATCCAGTGTATGACCTAAATGGGGCTGAGTGAACGTGAAGCCTTGCCGTTGGTTGTCTATTGACAAGGAGACCCTCAAAGCTTTTGCGTATGTTATGCTGTAGGTACAAAACAGGATACATCAGCCTTGAGTAGCCTATCATTCCATGTCTGCACAAATGCTATTGGTTATCACAACGCTCGCCTTCCGCTCGAAGCGGAAATGAGACATGGAAAGGTGTAAACCAGAGTAAACCGGCATGCCTAGGGAGAAGAAATATAGCCATCACGCCATGAACGATGATAGTCACAGCTTGTAGACGTTAGCTCAACTATAGCGTGTATTGTGTCAAGTCGAAACGGAATCAGCCCACCAGAAAAGCGCGTTCTGAGCCAGGTTGAACGTAAGTCGAAAGTGCAAAACGATCACAGGGTACCACCTCTTGGGGGGTCCAATCACAAGTCAGTCGCTCAACGAGCATGACGTGACTAAATATCCAGCCTTGTCTGTATATTGAGCCGACAACTGTTGCTTCTCTTGAAGCCACTTTCCCGGGGGCTTTTGTTATGCCAACAGATTGAATGAAGGGTTACATCTTCTCGGTCAACAGTGCTGTGCGATATCTTTTTCAATGTTATTGTTGTCGTCGCGATGTTGTCCCCATGACGTCTGTTCAAGGCAGTGCTTTACTTCGATGATAATTTCTGTACTCAACCGCTGTTTCGACGAAGATTTCCAAAAAGCCGTGAACTATTACAAGTTCATGGAGACTTTAGGACATCCATCAAAAACAAGGAACAACGTAATTGTAGCAAAAGACTCGAGTCGCCCCTCACGGAATGATGGGGCAACGCTAGACCCTGCGAGCCTCAGCCGCCTCGACGGGCAGGTGCCCCTCACCCGATCACGACCTTCGAGAATATATAGAGCACACCATCAAGTCATACCAAACCAAAATTGGGCGCCGCCTTATTCTTGCGGCCTGCTACAGATGTCCACTTTCGAACAACGTCACCTGGCATCGCGTTGTTGGGTTTGAAGAATATCGCAAGCCAGCGATCCTAAGGCTGATGACCAACGTCCATCACACACTGCTCGCTAAACTCAAAGTCTTTTACAACCTGGTCAATCGGAATCTTGTAAATGCATCGTTCTCGGTCATTTGCCATCCAGGAACCCATCGAGCAGGATGGGGCCAAGCGGTTTTGGAGATGGTACCGGCTATAGCATTGGGATCGATCTGGGAACGGCAAGAATCTGTACCGCCGTCTTCAGAAATGACAGGGCCGAAATCGTTCCACACGAGGGCCAGTCATTCATGCCATGTTATGTTGCTTTCACGAAGACCGGTCGCCTAATCGGAGCGGCAGCTAAGAACCAGGCTAGCGCCAATCCGACGAATACCCTCTTTGGTGCCCTCAGGTTCATTGGAAGGAAATACGACGATCCCGAAACCCAACAGATGATCAAAGGTTTTCCATTCCGAGTTGCACGAGATGCAAGCGGTAGTCCCACGTTTGTTGTTCAGCACCGCGGCGGCGTACTGACCATGACCGCAATGGAGGTGCTGTCCATATTGCTGAGTAGAGTCAGAAGAGATGCCCAACGTTACTTGGGTAACTATCCGATGAGTGCAGTCATCACTGTTCCAGCTTCGTTCAGTTCTATTCAACGTCATGCGGTGAGCAATGCTGCCATGATAGCTGACATCAAGCCCCTTCGCTTACTCGGCTCCGCTGTTGGTGCTTGTTTGGATTACATGATAAAACAGCAGCCGGTTGATAAAACAAACATCTTAATTGCAGATTTCGGCGCCGGGAGTATGGATGTAGCTATCGCCACCCTCGAACATGGCGTAGTGGAGATTCAGGCCATCGCCGGAGCTAACGATGTAGGAGGAGATGATATTGATACCTGCTTGGTTCGCTATGCAGCCAATGTCTTCAAACGTGAAACATCCTCCGATCTCACTAGAGATTCTCGAGCGCTTCGTAGATTGCGTACTGCATGTGAAAAGGCGAAACAAGAGCTGTCGTCGCAGACACAGACCACTGTATATATCGACCAGTTGTGCGACGGACACGATTTTGTTTGGACTCTCACACGGCAAAGCCTAGAAGAATGTTTTAGCGACCCTCTGCGAGCCTGTCTTGTGCCGATTAAGCAAGCATTGAAAGACGCTGGTATCGAGAAATCAAGGATCCACGTGGCGATCGTAATTGGAGGCTCTTCGAGGACACCTCAGCTGCAACACCGTGTGTCCGAATTGTTAAACTTCATGGATATTGCCAAGTGTCTCAATCCAGACGAGACTGCAGCGAGAGGTGTCGCATTCGAAGCGGCAATTCTGTCCGGCGACCTTTCCTCGCGATCCACAGCCGAGACGCTTCTTGTTGATGTCGTGCCGTTCACGATTGGTATTGGGACAAGAGAGGGAATCATATCTCCACTTCTCCAACGGAATACTAGCATTCCCACAAAAAAGGCGGATACCTTCACTCTCACAGAGGATGACAAGAATAACAAAAGCTTCTTTGTGTCAGTTTTTGAAGGGGAGTCCGCGCACACGATGTATAACATGTGTCTGGGAAAGTCAGTGGTACCTCTTTCACATCTTTGGGACAACGTCCCGCAGATGGTGGTAACCGTGGACTGTGATCAAGATAACGAGTTTGAGATCCACGTCCTGGACAAAGCAACCGGCGTCAGAATACAAGTACCTTGCCTGGACACTGATCGACTGTCAATGGAAGACCTGGTGCTATTGAAGGCGAAAGCTGCGGGCTTCAACATCGCTGATGAGACTGAAGAGAGACGTATAGAGGCGAAGAATGCAGCAGAAGGGTACGTATTTGCTTTGCTAGATCGATTAGGCTCGCAACCCCAGACAGACATCATCTGCCGAAAGGTCCATCTGGCGAACAGACTCTTAGTGTGGCTCGATGAGAACAATGACGCCGCGTTTTCGGAGTACACAGCAAAACTCCATCAATTGCAGGAATTCGCAGAAATTACTGTAGATTCAGGCACCGAACAGAGACCTGTCGTGGCTGAGCAAAAGGAAACGGAGGAAGTTTTCGATCACCTTGTGAACATGGCAGAAAAGCCAAAAAAGACAGGCGCAGATGATGTGAGATCGCAAACAGAATCCGAAACGGAGGTGAACGATGAGGAGCGGAGTAACGCGCGCTCGCCTTCAATGATTCCGTCATCTACCGACTTGAGTACTCCTCCAGCTACAGAGGCTAGAAGCGATAAGAAATTGGATGTTCGATCCAGTTTGGGGTCGTCGCCAGTGGGTATTACGGTCGATCTCGAACCACTCGTAGGGAATGAGGAGCTTGCCGTGGATACAGCTGTCGAGAAAATGCAAGATATTGCGCAACCATCACTCGACAATGACCACATATTCTCACAACCCTGCTCGCCTCCTGCACGAGTACCAAGTGTCTCAAATGTTTCCAACAAGTCAAGCACGCTTCGCTCGGAGACACCTCAATCTACTGCGAGGGGCATGTCGGAACTGTTCTCCAAGCCAAAGGTAGAGAGCATTGTTTACACAGATGCCGACTTCGTGTGTATGTCTACCTATCTGGCCAATGTCGGCAGACTTTCATGGAGCATGGTTCCACGACTATACACCGTTCTTCGTTTGATCGATAAGCTGGATATGCTGGACTTCTTCATCGACCAAGGCATTACAGACATCTGGTTTCCATTTACGCAGATGTCTCTGCCAAGTGCAATGTCGCCAACGGCAAAAGCACATTTTCTTGAACACCAGCACGCGGTTCTGTCCAAGTCATTGCTGTTTGAAATAGACTCCAATCGTACACATACCCACTTCGGGCAGGGTGAACCCCTTCCCTTTCAAGTTGTCGCAAAGCTTGGAGCTGGAGCTCACGGACAAGTCGACAAAGTCATGAGTACCGTGAGCTGTCGTGAATACGCTCGGAAGCTCTTTCGGCGAAGAAGGGGTGTGAGCCAAGACGCTATCAAAAGCTTTCTTGTTGAGCTACGAGTATTGAAAAGAGTACAACACCGTCACTGCATAGAATTGGTAAGCAGGCCTCTACTTCATAAGTTCACAAACAAAGTTGACACCGTGAAGGTACAAAGTTACACCGACCCTAAATATTTCGCACTCATCATGGTCCCGGTCGGTCAGTGCGACCTATACGAATATTATAAACTGGCGCGTGATTCACCAGACAAACTCTCTCTTCTCCGGAGCTTTTTCGGTTGCCTCAGTAATGCGTTAGAGTACATCCACAGCATCAAGATTCGTCACCGTGACATCAAACCACAAAACATACTAGTGAAGGGTGATAAAGTTTTCCTCACAGACTTTGGTATCGCGCTCGACTGGGAACATCTCTCCCGATCCACTACAACCGCGGATTCCGGAAAGACACTTATCTATGCTGCTCCCGAGGTAATGCGTTACCAAAGGCGCAATTCCTCGGCGGATGTCTGGTCGCTGGGATGCGTTTTCTTCGAAATGGTGACTGTGCTCAAAGGAGAGACAGTAGACGCAATGCGTGAGTTCTTTACGGAGCGCAGTGGGAGCCGTCACTTTCATGCAAACGGATCGAATCTAGGAAAATGGGCTAGCACCTTGCGTGGCAAAGGCTCAGCAAAAGACGATGCAGTGTTCAAATGGGTTCGGGCTATGCTTGATGAAGAAGCGGAGGATCGGCCAACTGCCGCGACGCTTTATGCGGATATCACTGCTACATGTGTTTCTCAGCATGCGTTGTTCTGTGGTTCATGTTGTTTAGAGGCAGTTGATTCAAGTGATGTAGAAGATGACGATGACGATGAGTTGTGGGGCCAGGCGGCGGAGTTGACACTGGGACATGAGCCAACATGAGATCCTGAGAGCTCGAAGGCTACGTGTCGACGTGGTGTGATTTGGGTTTGTCCCAGCTTTCGTCAGGAAACTGTATTATCATACATCGTAGAAGCACAACGCAATGAATCGTTTTCCGCAAAATAGATTTTGTTGAGAAGTTCTTCCCACCTAAGAGTGTGAATCGTAACATAAAGTCTATGCAATTGCTGGTGATTCGACGAGCTGTAGCTGGTTCGAGAGATTGTGGCGCCCCAATTTCGATGTTCTGGGCTGGAGGGCTGCGACGTGTTCAGATCTTAGTCTTTGTGTAGAGCCCAGAGACCATACAACTGATCTGCGCGAGTCAATATTGGATTACTAACATTACCACGTCGAGATTCCCGCGGCACTATTTCCTCCTTCGTTTCCTCAGAAAAGAGCGCAACAACATGTAGATTTTGCTCAATGAACTTACCGTCAGCTGTTGGAAGAGTAGCGAGAGGCTAGTACCCCTAATACCACTGCAAACGCTTAGTGGGTTTGCCAAGAATCTAAGGCGCAAACGCACTAGACTCACCTAGGCTTCTTCCTTCTTAGCTCGTAACTACATTCGCGCGTGAGAACCTCCCCTTACGTCTGGAACACCATTCAGCCAGCCACAATTGCTCCGTCGACCTTGACATGCTTGATTCGGATTTGAAGCTTTCCGCTCAAGCTTGAAAAGGGGGCTATTGACATAGATATCAGGACTTCTCCGTCTGTCGCAAGAATGAATTCTCGCGAACCATCTAGTTAATTGTGACATTCTTGCACCCCTCACTCACTTGTGCACAAAATGCGTCCATCCGTTACGATCATCGCTCTGCTTCTTGCAGGAGCTGATACTGCTCTTGGTAGTCTCACCTGTGGGATTAAGGCGACTTCGTGCTCCAACTTGCCGACTGCGTCCAGCAAAGCCTGTTCTTCACTCATTTGTAGGTTTTTGATTTGCGATAACGATGTCTATGGTAACTAACGTTGTGTTAGCGAAAAGCCGACTCCAGATTGCAACTTGTTCTCTACCTTCCCAGACTGTCACCAAGGTGACTACGGTGACCGCACCAGTAGTGAAGAAGACTGTCACTGTGACTTCTACACTCACCAACTCCTTGTACGTGCGGCTCTCCGAATTGCGAATTGCACAAGTTTATGTGATTTAGGATTCGCACGACCACATCTACAACTATCAAAGTCGACGCGTCCACTTCGACTGAACGGGCTACCACAACCACAACGGTACGTAACGTTGAGATATTGGGATCGCAAATGTGAACTGACTCGACTGTGAACACATAGGCAACCCTTCTCAATACTGTGAGTAACAATCATATTTCCGCCAATAGGTGCACCCGCTGATCTCAATATCTGTCTAGGTGACTACGACTACGTCCGGCGTCACAACTGTGACATCACCTTATCAAGAGCAAGCATCTATTTGCACAACGGCTGCAATCATCCCCCGGGATTACGGCTACGGCTCAAACAATCAGAGTCCTCTTCCGAAGGATTGTTCGTGCTACTTGACATCAATAACGACGTGCGGCACGACAACAGTCTACAGTACTACGAGCAAGGCTGCAGCCACTGCCACTGCCACTGTCACAACCTTTGTGACTGTCACAAAAGTCTCTACTCTACAGACCGTTCGAGTTGTACGTAGGATCAGATCGATTGTGGTTCTCAAGACATGCGCTTACCAGTGATATCTGCTTACAGGCAACTACTTCGATCACGACTACGGCGCACGTGACCAACACCGTAACTACTACCACCAAAATGGGATCGACAACTGTCACCGAAAGCATCATAGCCACCGAGACTGCTATCGCAGGCTTTTGTGACAATATAAACAGACTTGCTCTCACGGGCAGGCCCAGCTTCGGTGGCGTAGAAGTATTCCTTGCCGGTTCAGGCGATGCTAACGGGGACCCATTGAATTGTTGCAACAGATGCCGAAACACCTGCGTTTACTTCGTTTATATCCCACATCTGGACAGATGCGACACGTATATCAGCGAAATCCCTACTAGTTGCACTACTCCGCAATGTAGGTTTGGTGTGAAGAGCTGGTCCGCAACTACGGAAAAAGATGGTGACCAGCAGTACTTCCGGGGCCGTTGTATAAACCCATTGCCTAGTTCCTAGTTAAAACGCCGAAGTCATTGGATTGCAGCGCTGAATCTGGTTGGGAAGATGCAATTCATATATGGAAATAGCCACCTCTGGACTCACGTCATCTTCCAGAGGAATTTTAGATCAATGCGTGCTTTTTAATCTACTCCTATCTCCGACCATAGTAGCATAGTCAAGAGGGTCAAACCAGATAACTATCTTGAAACGTCGTTGGGCCATCAGGATATAGTTGTCTGGATCCCTCCTCTAGCAGTCGGTCATTTCTGTTGTCTAGTTCCATCATGTTCATAATCTGGCAATCATCTGGAAGGACCATTAACACATTTTCGTTACCATATGGCCAACAGTAGTTTTCCGAAGATTCATGCCGGTCCCTCAATCCATCAACCTTACAGGGACTACATGCATCTCCGTTAAATTGATGAGGCTCAAAAGTTGTCCAGCTTCTCCGCGCAACTGAAACTCGTCGTAGTTGTCATACTCAAACTCAAGCCACTCTATCATGCGCACAATTGGCTTGACGCAAGCAAATGGGGTTCTTCCGTTAGGAATTATGCGTAACTGAGCGCCACCACCTTATCGGAGGGTCAGGTGGAATGTCTTCGCCAATGATGCGGAGCTCGATGACATGCGGCTCGACAGTCATTACCTATATTTGAGCACGGAGCTCCGCTGGGAGTCAGGGAAATGGGTGGAACATGGTTATGTTACTATTGTTAAAAAGATAATTCTTTATTAACTAACTACCTAGGATAGCAGTAGAATATCTTATATACTTTATCTACTGCTTACTTAGCTATCTACGCTAACCTTATATTTAATACTTCCCTATAAGGTAAACGTAGTACTAAGTTAAAATAAAGTAATAGGGGGTTTAAAAGTAAGAAATCTAAAGTTTAAATGCTAATATAAGTAATAGAGGGTTTATAGTAAGTAAAAATAGTAAGTATAAACACTAGGCCTATATACTATTATACTAGTAGCTTTCCCTTAATCTTTACTTATTTAAGGCTTATTTTAGAGAGCCTATATACTATATTACTAGGCTATCCTTCTTTAAATACCTTCTTTATCTTTAGTTATTACTAAAAGTCTATAAAGGTAGGTCCCTAAAGCAGCTTTATTATATTATTAGCTGTATTTTATTTAGTAGGTATATACTATAGGTTTATTAGCCCTTACTTTACTATCTCTTAAATAAAGTAGTAGTAAATATCTATATACTTTATTTTTAAATAAAATATAAGGTTCTTTATAAGGGTAAGTACCTCTTTATTATTACTATATACTATTATAGTAGCTAGGCCTAGGTACTTACCTGCTATTATACTACTAAGTAACTTAAGTAAGTGCCCTAGCTAAATAGCCTCTTTTATAGCCTCTAATTTAGTAATATACTTAGCCTTATAGCTAGAAAGAGTAATAGTAGTTTACTACTTTAAGCTTTAGCTTACTATAGTACTATTAAGTATAAATATATAGCTACTAGTTAACTAGTAGCCTTTTTCTTAACCCTAGTTAGAATTAGTAAACCTAATTAAGTTACCTTTCTAGTTAGAGTTAATTATAAGTTTTTATATAATAGTTTACTATAGGTATTAAACTACCTAGAGGCTAGTGTCTAAATACTACTTTAAGAGGTTAGATATAAACTAGCTAAGCTATAAGACTATATAAGTAATATTAAGGTAAGTGTAAAGTATAAGGTATATTAGTAACTCTATAAAAGATTAATAGAAGTACTAATTATCTTTAGTAGCCTTTTTATTATTTACTATAAGTACTAAGTTAGTATTTATAGGAATAGGCATATTCTTTAGCTTCTTAGAGAGGTACTTCTTAGCTAACTTAACTATTTAGTAGGTATATACTACCTAGGTAAGAAATAGTTTTAAGTATTTACTAAAGAAGAACTATTTATACTAGATCTTAATCCCTAAATAGTAAGAGACTAGACTAAGATTAGTTATATTAAAGTAGAAGCTAAGTTTAGTTTTAATTTTATTAATAGTAGTTTAATTCCTACTAAAGAAAAGAAGGTTATTAATATAAATAGTAATTAGAACTTTAAGGTCTTTATTTAAAAATACGCTGTAATCCTTTATAATTAGTTTAAAGCCTAGGTCTAAAAGAGCTACCTTTAAAGTTTAATACTAGATTTATAGTACCTATTTTAGCCTATACAGCGCCTTTTAGAGCTAATAGGCTAAACTAGGTAGGTAGTTCTCCTTAAGGTTAGAGGGTAGCTTAATATAGACTTTAGTATTAATATTACTATATAGGAAAGTAGTTTTAATATCTATTTATTTAATATACTACCTAAGTATATAAGCTAGGATAAAAAGTGCCTTATAGCTTATAGGCTTTATAATTAAAGTAAATATTTTATTAAAGTATAAGGGCACTATAAACAGGTAATTAAGATATAGGATAAATAGGTATTTATTAAGAGATTAGATAAATCCTTAGGGTATAAGCCTTAGGGATTTATAAGTGCTATATACTAGAGCTCTAAGAGCCTTACGCCCTTAGCCTAAAGGTCTACTAAAGGTAGGCTAACAGGAGCTTAGATAGAAATACCTATAACAGAGCTCCTTTTCTTTTTATAGTTTATCCTAAACTACTAGAATTTTTAAAGTAAATAAATAGGTATTTAATTTATATAGTTACCTTAATTAAACTCTGTAAAAACCTTCTATAAAGGAAAAATAGTTTAAAAGAAATTTAGTACTAAATTATTTAAGTTTTCTCTAAGCTAGTCCTTAGATCTAGCCTAAAGGCCTACTATACTAGGCTTATATCCTTATTACTAAGTTTTTATAACTTTAGTAAGTATAGCCTAGTTTATTATAGGTAACTACTAGGCCTCTATAGAGAGTCCTATTTACTATTATCTCTAGATTATAATCCTTAGGGGTATAGTTATACTTACTATACGTTATTATTAGTAACTTTATATTTATAAGTTTTACCTTATTAAGTACCTATTAACTATATAGATAGTTTATTAGGCTTTATTACTTCTTTAGCCCTATTCTAGGGGCTTTATAATATATAATTATATAAAGTAAGGGCTTAATATAGAGTTTACTTATAATAATTTATTATTTACTTACTTTATTACTATAGTTAGCGTTTATACTAGCTTACGTAATTATTTATAGACTAGTATTATTTTTATAAGGTATATTACTAGTAGCCTCCTTAGAGGTTTATCTTATATAGGTAGTACTTACTTTAGTATTAGTACCTATTATACTCTTTATAGAGTTTATAACTATAGTTCCTCTATAGGAGTCTATTAGCTCTTTATAAGTAGTTCACTAAGTATAATCCTAGTATCTTAAGCAGCATTTATTATTTATTTATATTATAATAACTTTTTATAGTTATTAGTATATATAAAGTAAGGTAAAGTAGTATAGTATTATAGTAGTCCTAAAGGGCCTACGTACGTATACTAGATAGGTATAAAATACCTATATATTACCTTATAACTTTAATATTACTATAATAACCTTCTTCTTATTAATTTACTATACTTCTGCCTTTCTATATTAGTAATATGCCTCTACCTAAGCAGATCTACTAGCTCTCTACTAGTATAGCCTCTTAGCCTACTTTTACTTACTTTTAGTATATAAGCTATATTAACTTCCTTACTACTACCTCCTAAAAGCGCCTTTCTAATAGTACTATTATATTATTTTTTAAGTTATAGTAGAGTAATAAGCTATACTATAAATATAAGGCTAGTTAGAGTATTTATAGTAGTTATTCTAATACTAAGACTAGAGGTTATACTAAAGTAAGTTTCCTATTCTATTCTATTTATACCTTATCTATTACTAACCCTAATAGATTCTGCCTAAGTTCTATTATACTATTAATATCCTTAACTATTACCTTAAGTACGCCTTATATAAGACTTAGAAGTTTACTAGCTTTATATCTACTACTAACTCTAATATACTCTTTATAAATAACTAGGTATAGGCTAACTAAGTAAATACTTATACCTATACTAAGGCTTATTATAAGAGTTTCCTTAAGTATAATTATACTAAGTACTATATTATTACTAATAGTAGTCTCTTTACTATAGCTTTTAGTTAGGCTTATTAAGTTTCTACTTAGTATAACTTAAAGTAATATAAGGTTAGTTTACTATTATTCTAGTATCTTCTTATTACTAATCTATCTTAGTTAGGTCTTAGTACTACTAGCCTATATTATTCTAATAATATTATTATTTATACTTCTATAGAGGCTTACTTTCTATATAATAGTACTTTTAAGAATATTAACTAGCGCTTCTACTACTACAGTACTAATATTCCTAATACTAAGAAAAAGAAAATTCTATTTTTATTATTACTCTAAAAGTGTCTTTATTTAGTAGCTCTTTATACTCCTAGTTAGAAGGTAGCTAGTAGTACTTCTAAAAAGGCTTCTACTACTAGTTCTTTTAGTTCTTTAATAGCTAAGTATAACCTTAGTAGTATTAGTTCTAACTTTATAGTATTTTAATAGGTAACTATAAAGGTTTCTTTAGTAGATATATATTTTACTTTCTTTAAATAGTATAAGGAATAATAATTCTAATTTTCTATTTTTACTAAGGCCTATATTATCTTATACTAGTTTATAATTTTAGTTTTAGAGGTAATTACTATACTATAGCTCTAGCTTTCTTTCTTTTCTTTCTTTTAGATATTCTTTCTAGGATATTCTTATTTCTACTTTAGTAGATTATTAACTTCTAGATCTAGTAGAACCTTTACCTTCTACCTACGTCCCTTAGGTAGCTTATAGGTACCTTAAGATATATCTTATAGGTTTACTAGATAGTCTTAGAGAATCTTATTATAGTAATTAAGATTCTTAAGTAGTTCTTAGGTAGTATTCTTATTAGACTAACCTAGCTACTTTACCCTATACTTCTACCCTTAAGTAGCAGTAT